AGTGTGAAAGAGGACAGAAAACCAAAAGCTCCTGTTTACCAGGGTGGAATCCTCCTCAGCTCATACATTATTAAAAAGGCTCGACCCAGAACAAACTGCTGTGTTGGCCCATTTATGATTCATGAAATGTGGGGCACTATTTGGTTTTGGGTTCCGCAAATAGACAGAAAACAAGAGTGCGAATAGCTCGCATATGAAGATGAGCATTTTCCCTGAGTACCTTTTGCAGGTTGCCTCATGTTTAGAAAAGTGTGGCTTGGCTCTCCGAACAAATTAAAATCTAACAGCCTGGAGCTCATCTGAAGAGGCCTTTCAACAACTGGTGAGTAAACTTAATTAACTGTTTGTGTCCTCTGATTATTAGCTGCGAATATATGTGAGCCAATATTGAACAAATGTCATGTTTGTTGTTTCATATTTACTCATAGGAGTTTCTTTCCCTATCCATAAATCTGAAGAACACAAAGGCCCCATCTTTCCTCTCATACTTCCCTAAAAAATTGTCTATTTATGCTACTATTTCACATTTGTTGCTCTTTATCACTGACAGCTTTGCTCTCACTTTCCCTGTTCTGTAGAATCTCAAATCACTGCAATCTCCCATCAGTCAATGTATCAACAGGCAAGTGGTTTGACATTTTTTCTTATCTTGAATAAAACCCGGGTATGACTGCTTGATCAATGACAGATGGCCCAAGCCTCTGACACTGATAAAGGAGCCACACTATAAAGCCTTATAGAGAAACAAGGCAATCAGGAAGAAAGCACAGTTGATCAATACAAAGCACACCTCCATCTCACATATATTCTCCTGTGTGCTCTGCAAGAAGCCTTTGAGGGTAATGCAAATTCAATTTTACAGAGGTATAAATCCCAAAACAATTTAGAGCTAAAGCTGCAAAAATCAGGCTGCAGAGTTGACTTTAATTAGATGACCCAAAGAGCTTTATTTCAGAGAACAAATCTGTGAGTGTGAATTCTCACAGAGAAGAACAAACACATGACTTGAGATCTGGCTTCTGATTCATCACACATCCTGCTAATTGAGCGTTTGCAAACTTGTCACAAACTCACACATTGTCAATTATGGCATGTATGCTGCTCTCATTGACCATATATTAATATGAAAGAACTGCTGGCACCTCCTTCTACTGTACAAAATAGAAGCCAAAACACTTCTGCGACAGGTCCTATCTCTACTTATCAAACATACTAAAACTATTAAAACATAGGAATGTGAAAAATGTGGTATCGAATGGATAATTTGTGAAAGGTAACTCTTCTGAAAAGACTGACAACATTAAAATATACTAAACTTGATTCCTTTATTTTTAATTCAAAAAGATGTTTGTCTAAAGGCGCAAATAGCTTTTAGCAAACTCTCCAATGTTTTTTTTCCAAATGTAATCATGGTTTCATTCACATATTACTTTCGTTTTCTTTTTATTGTGCAAACACCTTGTAACCCTGTTTTGGAGGTGCAGCATAAGTAATGTTTAGTTCTCCATGATCATTTTTTAAAACATAAAGTATTATCATAAATGTTTTGATGTTATGCTAAACAAAAGCTACAAGCAGCCTGCTGAAACTCAACCCTGATGTTTGAGTTGAATACGAGTGTTGCCTCTGATTAAACAAGTAGCCAATCATGGCCTAGGATTTAAGGGTCCCTAGAGTGGTCAATCAGATTTCAGGGATGACCATTTCCACCCCTGGCCAACCCATCACTGATCATGATGTCTTTCAAGCATCAAATATGTTTTTAAAACTGAACTTGACAAAAAAAATGAACCTGCATGGTTAGAATAAACAGCCATGGTAGAAAGCTGTGATTTATAATGTCTCAAGGTTTTTTGTGGTTGCTGTGGAATTTGCTGCATTTCAGTGCAAAATGAAAACTGTATTTGTTATTGCCAGTAATTACCCTTCATTATGTGCTCACATCTCTTTTAAACTGTCCTTCACAACACATCAACACATTTCTGGAGAAATTGTGGCAGTGGCGCCTTTGCTGCAGATGTCTGACAAAAAAAACAAAAAAACTGTGAAGTTGGATTAAAGGAGCTTAATGTGTTGCTTTGTCTCCGGAGACACTTAATGGAGCAGATTCATTCTCCTGTGTGGTGAGATAATGAAACACCTCTAGCATTTCACTCTCTTGAACTCCTCTTCAACTTTTCAATTCTTCCTTTCAGTAAATCATTCAAACCAAATCCATGAATTTCTTATATCAGATGAGGAACCCTGTAAATTGAAAGGACATGTCGCTGTTGCCTCCCAGTTCCACCGTTGTATAATGAGCTGTTGTGCAGTTTAGATTTTTTAGGCTTTTTTTTTACCCTCTTGACTTATTTACATGGTGCTGATGCTGGATGAAAAAGGACTGACAACCTTATACACACTTAATCTGTTAGTTAAACAGAATTAACTATGGAAGAAAACACGACAAATACTTGAGAAAGGACCATTTAAGTTAGCTGATGAATACCACTTCCATATTTCTGCATTAGCTTTGGAAGTTCAGTTTGGCATTGAGCTGGAGGCTTGAGGGTACACTGGGTATTCAGTACCAAGTTTGTTGGTCTTTTCTGTCTCTGATTGACAAATTTCTTTACCCTTTTATGTCCAGCTTTCATGCTGAAGCTAAACCAGCTGACATTTAACTTGGGAAGAAAACATACATCACCAAAATGTAACTGACCGGGACTCATTATGAAACATCCCAGTGAAGCAGCACATTTACTGAGGGTGGAAATTATGAATAAATGTGTTTCTTTTACCTGTGCAATCTAAAGAAACACTCATTGACCTTTAGACTAAACAAATAATCCATAAATATGACAAGCCTAGGTTGTTGCATGCCATTAACTCTGAGCATTATGGCGTCTATAATAGGTCCTTATATTCCCATATAGTCCATGTTCCCTGATTTACATTGGCTGTAAAAAGCTGGATGTAAATGTTGACATCGAGTTAATTGCCTTGGCATCACAAATCACCCTCCACGGTGTCAATTAAAGTCAGGTCACAGGCGGCGTTTGCAAGTGGCAGATTGATCTATATTATACCAGCTGAGCTTCCTGTTGCACCGCCCCAGGGTTCAACTCAACAATCTAATTGTGAAAGCTTTCAACTTCCCTGTGTTTGAAGGTCTATGAATGTGTGCCTGCCTTTCTTCACCAGGGAATTTCCTTTTCCAAAATGGATAATTGTATTAGTGGCATATTGAATTGATACTTGGAAAGACGGACAAAATACTTTTTGTGCTCTGGCTATTAGAAACAAGTCATCATGTGAGTTTTGCATGCTAGACAGAACCACAGGTCTTGGGAGGGTCTGTTTTTGAAGCTAATGAGAAGATTCCAGAAAGGGTTATTGGAGTGGGTATCACTATTCATTGCAACATCATATTGTATCCATTTCAAGATGGAGGCTGAACAAAAAAGTCCGCAAGTCAGCATTTTAGCAGGAATATAACCTCAAACTGAAGACATTGTATGTTGCTTGATAACCCTGATTAGAGGTGTGAAACTAAATTTAACCTGAGGAAAGATAGAGTGATGTGGCTTATATGTTATAATACAATATGTTAGTATGTGATATGAAACTATAATACTATACGGTCAGACAGATCATGATAGAAGGTGATATGATACAAAACAATTCAATTTGATATATTATACAAAACAATAGGGTTTGAATTGATATAGAACATAATGTGATACAATATGTAATGACACAATACAATACAATGCAATACATCAATGTTCATATAACGATGCAACATCATACATAATACAACATAATATGATATGATGTAATATGATATTGTATTATTTATTACAATATACATCACATTAGGATTTGAAATAATGATACATTATGTCATATGATACAATACAATGCGCTACAATACAATGCAATATGGAATGACACCATATACCATGATGCCATATATGCTACTACACAATATATGATATGATATAATATGATATATGATATATAAATGATATGATACAACACAACAGAATATGAAATGATTCAATACAATACAAGATAATACCTTATGATATAATATGATAAGATATAAAATGATACAATACCATTTGTATGATATGATATATGACATTACACAATTCCGAATCAGAATTAGCTTTTATTGGCAAAGTACTGTGTTTATAGACAAACCAGAAAAATGACTCTGGTATACAATATATATGATATGATACAACACCACAGGATATGATATATGATACGATATGATAGCTTATGATGTGATACAGTAAGATAAACAACATACAACATACAATACTTGATATATGTCAGATACATAATACTTCACAATTTGACACATACATATGATACATGGTATTAAATATGACATGACATGACATGACATGACATGACATGATATGATATGATAGGTTGCAGTATAACTTAATACAATTTCATGCATAATGATAAGGCACAACAAGTTATGATAAACAATACCCTTTAATACTTCTATACTGCTTATTATACTTTTATTTAACAAGATATTAACCCACAGAGATTAAGACCCCCTTTCAGAGTCATGACAAATGAAATGACAGACGATTGAATTTCCCTTTAGGGATTAATAAAATTCTTCTTATTCTTATTCTTATTCTTACATTTCAGGACAATATGACTCTGTAGGATTCAAGTGAAATTTGCCAGGTGGGTGAAATTGGAAGGGAAAACTGTCCAGCTTGCTGCACTGACTATGAATTAAATAAATAAATGAATGAATACATAAAATAGAATTCCTTTGGGGGTTAGGTTTAGGACTACAGGGACAATATTTCTATATGTAGATATGTTATGTAAAGAACTAATAGGCCTGCAGATGCATTCAGAAATGACCCAAATGCAGACCATCTTTCTGTTTTAAAGCCTAATTGAATCTGTTGGGAGTTACATATCTTCCTCTCAAAGTTTTAATCAAACAAACATGATGAAGGTGGTGATGCTTATGATGAATGACCGGCGCACGTCCCTCTTCCCTCCTGAGGGATGACGAATATGAGCGGCTGGAAGTGGAAATCAGTCTCAAGGAGCAAAAAGAGGAGGGTGAGGAGGAGGAGAAACCACTGGCTGTGACAGTGACAGTTGCTTCTCTCTCTGGCTTTTTTTTTCCTCCCTCCTTCCCCCACTTTCTCGCTTCAGCTTCATCATCATCACCACCATCATCATCATCACCCCTCAGAAACAGCAGCTTCTCCAGCAGCAGCAGAAGAGGAATCAGCGTCCATCGACTGCGTGGAGAGCAAATAAGCAGTGAGCGGCGCTCCAGTCGAAGAGGAAGATGGGGAAATGGCAGATAAGCGAATGCAAGGATGAAGAAATGAAACGAGACATTTATTTATGATACAAAAGTGCTCCATGCATTAAAGGAACTATCAGAGGAACACACGGTAAGATGAAATTGTATTTTCTTTCTCTCTCTGCAGTCGGTCAATATAATGCAAACACGTCGGTGTTCATTGATAACCATTTTACAGAATGTAAATAGGACAGACAAACCAACCACTTTTATTCTAAATCTAACTAAATTTTAAGAAATAAGACACTTCTATTTTGCACGTTTGGTAAAAACTGTCAAAGAGACTGCGAGTTCCTGGAAATGTGTTTTTTTCCTTGGCTTTTCAAAAGGTATAAAACCTTCGTCAAAAATGGCTTTAAGTGCAATTGATATTCTTTAACGTCGTTTTCAGACTTTCCAACTTCAAATGTGGCTTTTTACATTAGAACCCTTCATCATTCAATCATCACGTCCCAGCGTTTATTATTCTAAATCAAGTTTTATTAATGTGGAGCCCTTTTCAAAAAGGAGGGGAACCGCATGTACGGCAAATGCGTGTCTATCTGCCCCCTTGTGGTTTGAAAGCATGCTGTGTTTCAGGGAATTAGCTGAATGTGTGCTGTAGGGACAATAATCTTTACAGATTTTTTTTTCTCAGTGTGAAGAGAGTTTGACCTAAAACAAATGGATTGTGTTTTTATTTTATTTTAGAACAGCCTCAAATAAAGTCCCACTGCTGTTGGAAGAAATTAGGAGAAAGATTCATTATATCACGCTAGATATAGGACCTTTTAAACTATTCAACAATATTTAACCCTTTAAGTATTTCTTTCCCACGTTTAGTTAATAATTGCTGTGCAGCTCCATCCCTCCTACAAGTGGCCCACATTCATGTAAACCCCTGTGTGGTTTCCTGTTATGTAATTTCATCCCCATCAGACTGCATCAGCCTCACAGTGTTTGCTGCTCAGTTTATACGAGCTTCCATGGGATATATATATATATATATATATATATATATATATATATATATATATATATATATATATATATAAAGTAACACAATACAAGTGTTCTGTAAGGCTAGAGGCAGGGCAGAAAGGTAAGTGAAATAGGGGTGATAAATGTGTGCTTTGGCTGTGTGCATCCAAGTGTGTGCCAGCAGGTGTGTATGTGTGGGTGTTTAGGGGTGAATGTAGTGAAAATAAGGGTTGAATCATGCCAACTTTGGTATGGTATATGGTATATGCATATAGATTCAGAAGATTTTTTCAGATTCAGAAGATCTTTAGATTCAGAAGATCTTTTGTACCCACAGCCATCAGACTTTACAACTATTCTGTAAATAGTAGATGACTTTTATTTAGACATGACAAATGAGATAGGGGTCGATAAAGTTCTTTTTATTCAGCCAGTTCTTTGACAATGAAACCATTTTATTTTGCTTTCAGATTCTAACGCATAAAGAAACATGGATTTATCAGCATCTTCCCTGCAGTATGGATCAAAAAAGCGGGTTAAGATTCACCCAGACACAGTGACAGTGAAATATGCCACCCATTTCCCTCAGCCTGGGGATGAAGGCTATGATGATGCACCCTCCTTTGAGGATTTTGGTGCTTTTGCAGAAGCCAATGTGGGAAAAAGACTGGTGTCGGACAGCAAAGGTGGAAGGACTTTTTTTGGCACCATGGAAACCCAACCTAGGCAGCCAAGTGTGCAAAGAGACAAGGGGGTGGGGGGTCAGCTGGCCAGCTTTGGTGAGGCCAATGTCTTGGCCTCCAGGGTGACCTGGATGGCATTGTTTGGGGCGGCAGTAGCTCATGGTTGTGTGGCGCTGATTACTCGTTTAGCAGCTGACCGCTCTAAAGTGCCCTCTCTGGAGCTGCTCTTCATCCGCTCTGTGATTCAAGTGCTGTCCATCCTGGTGGTCGTCTACTACCATGAAGCTCCATTTGGCCCCAAGGGCTACCGGCTGCGGCTCTTCTTTTATGGCGTATGCAACGTAATCTCCATCACCTGCGCATACACCTCTTTTGCGATTGTCCCACCCAGTAATGGTACCATCATGTGGCGTGCCTCCACCACAGTCTTCAGTGCAGTTTTGGCCTTCCTGCTGCTGGATGAGAGGCTTGGTTACACGGACGTCGTCACAGTGGTGGGAAGTGTGTTTGGTTTGTGTCTGGTGATGGTGCCCAACGTAGCTGACGAGGAGAAGTCCAGGTTGGGGTTTTGGAAGGAGGCCTTTGGGTACACAATGACAGTGATGGCAGGTTTGACAGCCGCCCTCTCCATGATTGTCTACAGGGCCATCAAGGAGCGTGTCAGCATGTGGACGGCCCTCTTTACTTTCGGCTGGACGGGCACAGTGTGGGGGGCATCCACCATGTTTATCATGCAGGAACCCATCATCCCTATGGATGGGGAAACCTGGGGCTATCTAATTGGGATCTGTATCTGCTCCACTGTGGCGTTTCTCGGAGTCTACTATGCCCTAAACAAATTTCATCCAGCCTTAGTTAGCACCGTGCAGCACCTGGAGATCGTAGTCGCCATGTTCCTCCAGCTCATCGTTTTGAGGATGATCCCATCTATCTATGATGTCATCGGAGGCCTGGTTATCATGATCAGTGTGTTTACGCTCACAGGAGTCAAGCTGTACAGGGTGAGCAGAGCCATTCGCCAGGATTATCAAGAGATTCTGGACTCGCCCATCAAATGAGTTTGGATTGTTCGTCAGTCTGTTTACAATGTTGCTTGGTTGTGCAATTTAAAGAATGTTGGATGATTTTGTATTGTTGTGTTGTGAGAAGGGTGCCAGTTTTGTGTAACTAATGTCTTAATATGTGTCTGTGAAATAAAAGACAAGTGTATTATGGTGACCGTTTCTACCTGTTAGTACTGCTTTAATGTTAAAATGTGTCAACCAAAATGTCAGCAAAAACAAGGTTGGGTTGAGATTTGTGATTTATTTTGGTCTAACACAGTAGCTTTTATAATAATCATATGAACAAGGTCTGTTGTCACACTGCCACACTTGTCAAAATGTGTAAATGTCAGCCCAGAAATCATTTGCACAATAAAAAAAATACCACCTACGTTCCTTTGCTGCTTTTTTAGCCTTAATTTCTTCCTCATAGGGGAGATGCATATGTTTAAATTCCCTCCCGGAGAAGCCAACATATGAGCAGAGATGGATTTATTCCCTGTCATAGAGGCCCAGACATACTAGGATAGTTCTTTTTTATTCAAATCTAGATTTCAAGGCAGAATCTAAAAGCTTTCAGTGCTTTCTCATTGCCCCTCATAAGGTCCTGGCCCCAGCAGCGTCTTGATATTCAACACTAGTGATTACATCCCTGGACGCGGCTTCTGTTTACTTTCAGACGCATATCAGACTAATGCCCAGAGGCAGGTGCTCTGTATTGAATTAAAGTCCTCTTTAACAACCACTGACCCTCTGCTTTTCTGTGTTGAGTCACAAGCGCTGCTGCCTCTCTCTGTGCAGAAAACCAAGTCAGACTCTGTGTTTCCCCTGAGGCATGGCAAAATAGCGGTGGGTTGAAATAAAGGGATAATGAGAATGCAGAGCACGTGAGAGGGCAAGTGTTGCATGTTGGGTTCAGGAGTGAAAAGATGTAGACATTTCATTAACAGCCAGCAGGTGGCATTCACAATCCATCTTAGTACTGACAGAGTCAGCCTAAAATGATCACTGAAATGTTCTGTGGATAACCTCATGCAGAAAGGAAGTTATGCCATTGTTATTGTTCGCAAAACGTAACAGTTCACCTGGGTATTTTCTTACCAGGAACTGTTATTGGACAAATTTATAGCTGACTTCACACATTACTGCCTGGTAAGTGTTAAAATATTTATGACACTCTGGTGAATGTTAAACACATTTTATTGAAGGCAGAATAAACTAAATTTTGTACCACTATCATAATAGAGGTGAACCTGCTAAATCAAATAATCCTGCGCGGTGACAAGCCACAACCAATAAAGTGATAACAAGCTTTCTTTATTCACAACCAAAGGCTGAATTACAGCCATTATAAGCACAAGATAGTGTAAAATGGTCTTTCCTTTGAAGGCACATTCATGCTGTCATGTATTTTTTTATCCTTATAGAAAGTAATTAAAGATAATTTCCAAGCTAAAATATTGAATAAACTGGGAAAAAAAGGTGTATTATGTCTCCATTGTATGTTGTATTGCTGTCTTGTTTTTAAGGGGGCAGAATACATGCAGGGGAGGCCCATCTGTTTAAGCAGGAAACAGACCGCATCCTGCAGCGTGCTCTGCAACCTTCCAAATTTCTCTGCAACTCTATTCACGACAGACATGTATATTAGAAGTGCCATTCTTTCCCAGGAGGAGCCTGAATGGAATCTGATGGTGAGTTATTGTTTTTGTGTGTATGTGTGTGTGTGTGTGTGTGTGTGTGTGTGTGTGCTGTAGCCTACAGTAAGGATGACTGAGCATTTTGTTAAAGCTCAAAGCCACTAAACTTTTCAGCTACCAGATGCAAATCAACCTGCTCATCTTTGAGGCTATCGTGATTGCAGCACAGACAACATATTGCCAATATCAGACAAGATTTAGGTTCATAAATGAGAAAAATAAGTACAATTTAAGCTGACTCATCTTTGTTTTATTACACCCTCTGACTTTTTCAAATATCCTTTGAAAGAAGAGCTTTACAAAATGTTTTTTAAAATAATTTTTAGAAAGTAACAGATGTGGCCCCATTTGGGACCTTAGGACCTTGCATCCAACTTTTCATGAGAACAGCTGAGCCAAGTCAAAAGGTTATAATGTGTAAAACAAGAAGATAAAATGGAGTATAATTTTTGTATCTACATCTCCCCCTCTCTCTGCATTTTTGCCTTTAAACAAAATGTGTTTTTTAATTTTTAGAAAGTAACACAGATAACACATGTGGCCCCATTTGGAACCTTACAGACCCTGTGGCCAACTTTTCATGAGAACAGCTGATCGTGAGCTAGGTCAAAAGGTTATAATGTGTAAAACAAGAGGATAAAATGCCACACAATCTTTGTATTTACATCGCTCCCTCTCTTTGCATGTATGCGCTCCACAAAAGCGCCTATAAGGTTCACTTCATAGCCTCCCACTTCGAAAATCGTGATGGATGCTCATGGGAACTCAGAACATCAGCAGCTGCAGTGTGATTGATTGACAGTGTCTTCAACCAATCACAACATAGCTAATTCCCCTGCAGCCAATCGGACGCGGGTAGGCGGGATCCGGAGCTTCAACAGCTTGTGAAGCTGCTGCTAGCCTAGCCTAGCTGTGCTGCTGAGCAATGACATGCTTTGATATAGAAATGCTATTCCAACGGGGCGCAGCGTCTCATCTACTAGGCTAGCTTGTCGGAGTGGAAAATTAACGAGCCGCTAACCTGGAGTCTGGATATCATTAGTGAGCATCCAGCACTAGTTTGTGTGACGATTCTTCGCGTTGAGGAGACAAGAAGAGGTTGCCATCACATATCGGGTAAGACGTGGTATGACTGAGCAGGGAATGAATCTGAGCTGCCACTGATGGTGAAGCTTTCTCAGACAGGCTACAACACTAACGAGAGCTACAGGCTAACCACTGCTATCCCTCTATTCACCGAGTAACGTTACAAGTCAGGTCGGCTAACAGCTAACTGTGAACCCAGACAAAAACCAGTCTGTCGCCTTGCCAACATGGCCAACATACTGTTACCCAGCTGGCTAACGGTGTTTGGTTTTCACAGATTTATTTTACGGCACTTCTCCTCTGAATTTTTCTAAGTGAAGCTAGCCAAGTTGGAAAGCGTGACAGCGTGTCACACGTAAGTTATCTGATAAAATCTCAGCTAAAACTGCAACACTGCAAGTAAACGGGGTAACACTTCAGTTTGTGCATTGCACCACGATAACGCTTTAATTCCTGGGGGTGAAAAAAGGCCTGAACCGTTTACAACCCAAATTCAGTTTCTAAATGCAAGGCTGTATCTCCTGTAGCTTTATCATTTATTGTACATTAAAACAAACATACTAGTAGTTGCTGCTGGGTGTTGCTCGATGGAAGAATTCCTGGACATCCATGCCTTGTGTAAAACAGGCTGCTGTCTTTGCCTTTTAAATGCTGAAAAGGGAGTTATTTTCACAACACCACGAATGCATACTCGCCAGGCATGCTGCATTAAAATTATGAAATGTTTTAGGAAGGGTGGGAATTTTACGAAATGATCCCAATATGTTGCAGATGATAACATGACACCTCGATACCACGATTCATCCACGATCCATAAATCGCGATTCATGAATGAAATCGAATTTACAGAAGAAAACAAGACACCACCTTAAAGGTCCTTTCACACCGGGACCGTTTTTGTCATGCGATTATTTCGGACGTCAATATTTTTTTCGAACCCGTATCCTGTCAATAGAAGCGTTAACATTAGCGATGTTTTCCCGTCCTGCGATACTGCAGCATTTATTTTTTCGAATCACGATCGATTTTTCTAAAGTTTTGCATAATGTGTCTACTTCTGACCAATCAGATTTCGTGTTGTTGTGACTTCCGATTCACCAGTATATCCAACATGGCCGACTGGTTGATTGTTTATGATTGTTTACACACACACATTACAAAGATAACGACCTGAAGGACAACTTGTGGAGAGTCATAGCGTCGGATTTATGATATGACGATGGTTCATGTGCTTTAACAGTTTGCTAAACGTCTTTGTTTTAACTTTCATCTGTGCTAATGTAAGCTAACAATTATTACCATAGTTTCATGTGCTTGTCGTATTGCCTCTGATTGGCTTTAAGTGCTGACCGTTTGATCTTCCCCGGGAAACCGCTTCAGGCTTGATGTGTATAGTCAGGCCCGTCAAAATTCACCTCAGAATATTTCGGGATTTCGCGTTCTATATTTGCATCGGCCCCAGTGTGTAAGGACCTTAAAGACTCATGACTTAATTTGTCACTGGATTAGAAATCTGCTGTTGTCATTTTTTAAATAAAGATATCAAGATTTGAATGGCATGAGTCAGGAGGACAAAGTTTTGCTGAGTCAAGTTTTCATCTTTTATCCTGTTTTGGTGACTGTAAAAGATTTTCAAGCATGCAAAAAGAGCTTTAAAAGAAATATATATTTTTACAAAGAGGAAGTTAACACCAGGAATTGATGTTTCTTTTTAAATCAAAATTGCTGCTGTCTCTGAAACAGAAACTTCCACCTGCTTTTGACTTTAGGAAAATGTCTCAAGTTTCATCTACCAAGAAACACTAATAATAGTTACAAATGGTTTCACTTGCTCAAGACGTCTGCCAGTTTTTAAACATTTTTCTTCTCTTTTGGTGTTATTCCTCCTTCTGGTTATCTCCTAACTTTGTTTTTACCTCACACAACCAAAGCTAGACTAAATGTCATGCTTCAGCAGCACAATGGGCGATAAGGCTTTGTAATTGTTGGCAAGCTCTCCTGGCTGATGTTTGTTACAAAACTTGCTCAACAGTGCTGTGGAACAATCAGCACATTAATATGGCTGGGGGATTTTATCTCACTGATGTAAATTTGGAGATATGCGGTCGGTTAGATGTGGATGATTTAAAGAGGGCCAGCATTTGTGCCTTGAGGGGGTCTTTTTGCAGCTGCTGAATAGTACAGTTTCTGTAATTATTGTCACACTGACAGACCTCTTCACAGCCTCTCATTAAGGTTTCAGGGAGGTGAGAGGGGGGAGAGACATTTGGTGTGTTCTCAGAAGAAGTAAAGCCACAGTTTGCAGGGAGGAATATGGTGCAAGGAGACCTGCATATTGGCAGGGTTTGCTGGAAGAGAGACATATTCTGTCTGGAGAAGAGGCCAACCGTGCATATGGTAGTAAGAGAGCGTTCTGCTACCAGAGCTTTCTGTTTTAAGCTTTGCATGAGAATAGTGCAGTGATGTGGCTCTTGACTCAGCTAACCCTTTACCCTCTTTTTGTAATAACGTTACACTTTAGGCTTATGGAAATGCAGAGATGAGCCCTCTTGTCTCTTCCTCACTGCCTGTCTCTGTGCCACCAGTGGCCTCAAGCAGCCAAATCTGTTGCAACAGCCCCGAGGTAAAAACCAACTGTGCGTTTTCCTGCTAGCCAAAAAGCTAATGTGGCTGAAAATTTCCTTGGTCGAATGACAAGCAAAGGAATGCCATTTATTTAGTTGATTTCTGTTGGCTTCTATTGAAATTCCGCATCTGTTGTTATTGCATACATTTGTCTCCATTTCCTCATCTTTTGATGTGTGTCCACCTGATTTCACTCAGATATGTTTCCCCTTAAACTTCCACCTACACTTGAATGTTTGAAGAGTCAATAACAAAGGTGCTCTCTACAATATAACCGAGGTCACCTGCTGAAAAAGGGAAATCAGCCCTTTTGTTAAAGCACAAAAACCAATAGAAAACAAAAAGGGGAAGAATGACAACCACATATTTTGTTTTTCCTCCCAGCTATCACGGCTAAGTTGATCTGAAAAGCAAAGTAACACTGTGAAATTGAGAAGTCATCAAGCAATGCCTTGACAGAAATATGAGGAAATCTCCTTCCACTTTTTGTAGAATCCACCACGTAAACCATTTGCGGTTGAAACATTCACTATCCTTTCTCATTTGGAGTAAGTGATTAAACTTCCTCATACCATATAAAAGACAAGTGAAGTTTCAGGGTTGTTTTTTCCATCAGTTAGTTATGTGTAGGGGGTTTCTATCATGGGGTTTGGCAGTGTGAAAATGAGGATGTGTGCACTTGTGGCTGACAACAGTAGTTGCTGTTTATCAGATTAACTGAGTTATTATAAGGTTTAATAATTTACTGGAAATGAGTACATATTTAAGGTGGTTCTGGGTAATAAAGCATCTAACCAAGAACACCATTCATTGAATATTTGACCTCAGCATCCAATAAATGATTTTGTTTTTGTTGTCTGCACTTGTAGTGTATTGAAAAGGTCTGCTCTGTAAATATGCTCAACGATTAAAGCTGGGATTTATTTCTAATGAAAAAGTGCATGCTTTAAAATAACTGGATTGAATTCTTTTCACATGTGTAGGTTTTCTAAATGTGTGTGTTTTGAGTTCTCCTTGAGTTCATAAGGCGGAGTCACATGACTACACACACAGTCGTATGTTTTCAGAGGAACAGCTCATAAACAAATACAGCAGGGAAAGTATAAACAGTATTTTAAAAGATTAAAATAGAAATAAATGATCATTTTAATTTGGTTTCAATTTATTTTGGATTAATGGGCTAACTCTAGTTTAAGATATTGCAGCGTTGGACCTGAAATTGTACCTGTAGGGTTCGTTCTTTCTCTTACAGACTTCTGCCATTGTTGTAGATAAAGTTGTATGAAGAAGTCCCGCCTCTCTTGATTTTGATTGGTTGGTGATGGGGATGTGAAACTGAGAAGTTTAAGTATTTTAAACAGAGTAGTAAGATTTTTGTGAGTTAAGATGGACAGATGATTGGCCTTGGCCGATAACTGAGGACGATATTCATTATTTGGTTGATTGTATTGGGTTTTAATTTTACAGAAGTTAGATTAAAATTGATCAGTTAGTGTGCTACTTTGTTTCTACTGCTTGGGCCCCTTTTACCTTTTGAAATGCTTTCTTGTACCGGTTTGCCTCAACTTATATCCCACTTACAACACCACCTGATGAGCAAGATGTTTAAGGATGATGCACCATTGCTGGTGATCTGTTAACTCCCATCTATGACATTGAATGTTTTAATTTTGATTTAAAGTTTGATAAATGTGATTCGGCAAAGTTGTGTTGGATTTTGGCATCAGTTTTTTATGTTTATTTGAGCGTTTTGGTTCTGATTATCAGTCATTTGTCTCCTAAACAACTGATCAATATCAATACCTGCCCAAAAAAACAATATGGTTGACTCCGATTTGTAATTAAAAAGGCTGCTGCCCGTGAAAAAAACTAGGTTACTAGGTTAGTAGATCTAGGCCTGTGTTCTGTGATATATTGAATCTGTACTTGCACTCTTGATTTGCATGAACTAGTTGAAATAAGTGTAAGCTAAAGATCTGTTTTACTCAAATGCAGTGCTAGGAACATGGAAGCACAACAGGTGATTATTTGTGCTCTTATTAACTCTGATGATCCCAAATGGAGAGTCTGGAAAAGGTTGCTTTTTCACTGAAATTCTATATTATTTTTAATACACTGTTCATAAATAAACATCTGTAGAACAACATATGTCACTTTTTTCAAGTAACATTGCCTTTGCAACATAGTCTTATCGAGCATACGCCCATTCCATGGTTTCCATGCTTTTGAGAGCATTCAGGAAATTCGACCGACAGACAGCCAACCAAAAATCTGAGATTATTCTGTTTATCTGGCTTTATGGCCGCCAGCCTCAAACTGAGCAAGGACCGATCTGTCAGAAATTCAGACTGATCCTGAAGTTGAGGTAAACTGCTCTGGGGGAGAAAAATCTGCTTAATCTCTACAAAGTCTGTGGAAGTTATTTTCCCCCGATTGTCAGAACAGAACTGGCTGCTGGTGTCTTATTATGATTTGGGTAATTTTTCTTGGTACTGAAGGCTGGATTATGTTGCAAAACTTGATTTGAAGGCATGATTTTTAATTTAAGATTATCACGCCATCCCTGAAGTTACTTATCCGTATCTGGGCTTCAGTCCATGTACTTTTCGCAAGTTTGTAGTGTACATTGTGACTTGGAAGTGTATGAATTGACACTGGAAGAGCTCCTGGTGTATTCAAGCAGAGTCCCTCCTGTTTATGCTTTTTTAAGCCTGCCAGAACAGAGATTAGGCATCACGTATCTCTCTGATTTGTACAGATTTTCGTGCCATCACCCTGCAACCTGGAATGCCTCCTGCTCTCAAAATGCTCATACACAAGTCCCAACACGTGCCCCTCCTAGAGGTCCCAAGTGGCTTGTTTAGTCCTATTGTGACAGCACCCTGAGGCTCATATTTGCCAGGATGTACGACAACCTAGAGGAAACTGGTGTATCCATTTCACCTCCCTGACACAGGCTGTCTGGAATTATTATCTTGCGGTTTACAAATGATCTGCTATTTTGACTGCAACAATAATTTTTTCCAGAAGGCTGCAGTTACAACTTGCTTTACAGCTCCATTACACTGCATGGCCTAATTTAGATTGGATTCAGATAGTCTCTTTTACTGACTCCGTAATGCTGCGATGGCCTGACACCATGCACAACCAAACCACAGACAGATTTAATGTACATTAGTGTCCAACGTTCGGAGTCCTCCCGCTTTGTAAACTTGGATTAGTCATTAGGAATTCCCCCCCCGCTCGCTCTCAGAGACTGAGGTAACCTGAAAGCTCATTTTGCTGCTTTCTAGTTCCAGATTTCTTGGATGTGGCCACAGAAAGAGCTGTAAGCAAAAAGGGCCACCCAGAACAACAACTGACAACTCCAGCAGCAGGCAGGCAGGCAGGGTGTGGATGCGGATGTGTAGGCTCTTCTTATTTAGGTGGGGTCTGAGGAAATTGATCCTTTCTTCCATAGAGGTATTATGTTCTTGAGTGTATTTGCTTACAGAGAGGATGGGAGTGTTTTCAGGCTGGGAGGCTGCTGAAAAGGCCTCTTGTCGATTATGTTGAAGTCATTTAGTGTAAATAGTGGAAGGCAGTAATAAGATAATGTGAGTCTGGCTTATGCTTAGTTTAATTCCTCAAATGCAGGGGTCTTATCTCTAAATTTAGCCTGTTGTGCAGCATTGTACAGGGTATCTGCAGGGTTTTAAACAATCTTAAATCCATTGATTTTAATGTAAGGTCTTAAAATGTGTAAAAGTCTCTTAAAATCTCATAAAATGTCTTGAATACGATTTTGAAAGGTCTTAAAAATGTCTTAACTCTACTTAAACAAATAACGTGGTTTAGGAATAAACTTGAAGTAATGTAAAATGTTCAGATTTCCCTTCATGTCTTCTGTACTTTTTTGCCAATATGGATGTTAAAAAGGGTCTTTAAAAGTCTTAAATCCAATCATTTTAATGTAAGGTCTTAAAATGTCTAAAATTCGCTTAAAATCTCATAAAATGTCTTAAATACGATTTTGAAAGGTCTTAAAAATGTATTAACTCTACTTAAATAAATAACATGCCATAGGAATAAAGACTGAATTAAACTTGAAGTAATTTAAAATGTTCCATTTTCCCTTCACGTCTTCTATACTTTTGTCAAATGGGTCTTAAATTGTATTTTTATGAGCGGTCTTTTAAAAGTCTTAAAAAGTCTTTAGTTTGACTTGTTGAAACCTGCAGAGATCCTGTTGTAGACTTGGCGCAGGCATGTGGTGTTGCATATCTGAGGATACTTGATTTGTTTTTATAACTTTTTAAAAAATTTTGCTCAAGCAGCCGGAACTTCACACAAAATCTAACATCAGTACCACACTAGACAGGATGACACTATATTGCACTCTTGATATTTTCTCACACCCTCAGCCTTATTTCAGCCTCCAGATAATGGTGTGATCTGCTTTTTTGCAGACTCTCTTCTTCTGTTTGGTCGTGCAAAATCAAGCCTCTTGTATTGTGACACAACCAGTTTCACAATATGCCATTAACGATAGTTGAAGTAAAGAGGGAAGTGAAATTTGGGAAGTGAAAACTTTTTGAGCAGTTATTATATGTTGAGAAGTTATGATCTGTTTCGATAATTGAGGCTTAATAAATTGGTGTCAAATCTAACTACTTCACGTTAAAGTGAACACCGCTGGTTTGATTAGATTAGATTAGATTAGATTAGATCAGCCTCTAGGCAAGCTTGATTTTTCATGGGAATCTTCATATTGTTGCTCTACAACATCCTTCAAGCTACGGCAGTTGTTTACTCCTCTCAAAGATTTGTTTGGGGCACAGAGTGAGCCTTTTGAAGTGAAGTTGTCCTTAAAGAGAGCTTCAGACTTTTGGTGTTGGTCGTTGCTATGAGAGTAAATCTCTGTCAGTTCTCAAAGGACATGAGCCCCGGTCTATTTTAGGCCATTCCCAACTGCTAAGGGTGATCCCGAGGGGTGAATAACCAACTGCTTTCACACACTCATGAGCTTTTACGCTTAGCCCCCAAACACCAGAGGCCCCGCTGCCCTTTAATAAAGTTTGAATATGGGGAGCATCATATTTGGGTGAAGCTGAAATTGCTCCTGAACTCCCATTTCCTAATTGAGGCCCATTACTTGCATCAATGCAAAGCAAAGATAAGTTATCTGCACTCCATCAAGAGGTCGAGCCTGCTCACTGTCAGATTGCATCACTTTCCCATCATCCGGTCACCCTTGTGTCCACACTTCCTGTCTCACAGCTGGCCTGCCAAGTCTCCCATGACCCTTTGCTGCTATGCTGCTGTTTTGTTTTGAGAGAATCTAGGACAGCTGGGATGAGAGTTGCAGTCTCACGGGTTTTAGCTGTTGCGGTTGGATGTGGAAAAAAAAAAGAGTGCTTACAAGCATGTTTTCCGTCAGTCCTGCAACGATCCGTTTCCTGTGAAGGCAGACCGTCCCTCTTTAGCCAGATTGTGAGTTTTGGTGTTAAGTTGGAGGAAGTGCAGCAGTGCCAAAGGGGCTGAGTGAGCAGTGAGCATACAGAGCACATTCCAGAAGGCAGCAGAGGCTGTGATTTTAGCAGGCTGTCACAGGGATTAGGTTACTCTGTCTGCCTCTGTGAGCTCATGCTGTTGCTGTCTCAGTGCCTCAGCAATCCTGCCCAGCAGCGGGACACTATTTGCTCCCCCTGCAAGGCAAGGATCCATAATTGTCCTTTTTTTACGCTTGTATACAGTATCAAGTCATGCCTTTGATTTTACCATGAACTCTGTCAGTCCAGTAAATAAAGTCAGCATTTCCATGAACTCCATGCTAAGAACGAATGCTATTCCAGTCATTTCCTCCTAATGCATATCTTTGCTATTGTTTCCTGATATCATACATTCCCAAATAAGCCACTGGGTGTGCTCTTCGACTACATCTTCCCTTGTGTATTTTTTCAAGAGAGACACGCTGGGATTGTGGCAGCAGCTGTAAACTGCAGGAAGTGGTGAACTGGTGTCACTGTTGTTTCATAGTAACTCGCAAAGTTGCTCTCTGCATCTCTATTCAACCACCAACAACGTGCAGATGTTGTGGTTTGTGGTTTTATAGTGCTCTTCAAATTTTATTAGCCGGAAAAAAAGGTATTTTCTAGAAGCTTTAAATCGCTAACCGAACTATTAAAGAGAGAGGAGATTGTTAAGACACGTGCTGCTGACCTTTTGGTAGAGGGAATCTAAATCTCAGTGGGTTGTTACCTGATTAAATAGAGGTTTAAAAAAAAAAAGAGAAGATAGCAGTGCTGGATTTGGCCTGGTGGTCTTCTGGGAAACAGTTGTGAGCACTGTTGGCACTCTTGAGAACATGAGTGGCGTATTGATAGGAACACAGGTTGGCCTGTCACTGGCTTACATGCACTAGACAAGTGGATCTGCTTTATCAGCTTGGTATGTAGCAGCCAACACTGCTCTGTGCTCATGTTCTTCCTCACGGTGTTGGAACTTTAACTAGAGCTGAATCTAGTGAATTTACGGGTGCTTAGTTTTGTCGTTGAGCTGTATTGCAGATTAAATTAAATAGCAGAATGTCCCTTTAATTGAAAAAGCTGTTGTTTAGTTTTGTTTTGATGCTTACCGTAAAATTCTGTGAAAAATGTGGGGCTTTCCGAGCTTTGCTACACAACCACATGACTACAAGACTGTTTGATACCAATACTCACTGCACACAATCTGATGTGAATAGACATTCAGTCCTATCTATGGTGAATAGCAATACAGACCAGGATAGGTGTGCCAAACGAAAGGCTTTTCATCCCCATTAGGTCATGATAAGACATTTGTACAACACAGGGTTAACTTTTGAGAAACTTTCTGGTGAGAAAGTTTGATTGCAAAGTTGGTTGGCCCCGCTTCCAGGCAAATTGGCTGTGGCTCGTGGGTTTGTTATCTATAGATATCAGAGTCAAAGTAGATGGTTTTAACCCTTTACCTCTTAGAGACGCCCACATTATCAGCATTTGATGTGGGGGAAGCTTTGTGCAAATGATGCCTCAGAGTAACCTACATAGATACAGCAGCAATGAAAAAAATTGGATCAAACATACTGCTAATAAATTCCCAGATGTGTTCCCAGGACATAGACCTCAATAGGTCCACATAACTCATCATTAGATGTGTGATTAGACTAGAATGATTGACACGACATTGAGATAATATTATTACAAGGGGTGGGAGAAAAAAATCATTACAGCATGATATTGTGTCTGGTGATATATCATATCGTCTGATAATGGAAAAATAAAATCAACAGTTTGTCCACTGAGGTTGGCAGAGGTGACATCATAGAGCAGGTTAAAGTTAGTACAACAAACATATATAGGGTTTGAAAGAGGTACTACATGAAAATGAAATACAGTGTAAAGAAGACAAACATAAAGGAAAGCCAAATGCTAAATTAGCTAAACAGTTGAAAAAATTGTATAGCAATATATTGTATCGCAATACTCACTGTATTGCAAAGTGTTAAAAATTGCAATAAAATTGTATCGTGATAATATTGTGTCGTGGCCCAAGTATCATGATAATATTGTGTCCTGGCCCAAGTATCATGATAATATTGTGTCCTGGCCCAAGTATTGTGATAATATTGTGTCCTGGCCTAAGTATCGTGATAATATTGTATTGTGGCCCAAGTATTGTGATGATATTGTGTTGTGGCCCAAGTATTGTGATAATATTGTATCGTGGCCCAAGTATCGTGATAATATTGTGTCGTGGCCCAAGTATCGTGATAATATTGTATCGTGGCCCAAGTACCGTGATAATATTGTATCGTGGCCCAAGTATCGTGATAATATTGTATCGTGGGGCTACTGGTGATTCCCACCCCTAATTATTACTGTGAATGAATTGGGGCTGATATTGAGGAAAAATAATATAGGAAGCAATACTTAACCAACCTTTAATATACAAGAAAGACAGGAAATGACACTTCATAATTTTACTGTGATTTATTGTTATTCTACTTAAACAAATAACGTGCTTTAGGAATAAAGATTGACTTGAAGTCATGTAAAATGTTCCGTTATCCCTTCATGTCTTCTGTACTTTTTTGCCAATATGGATGTTGAAAAGGGTCTTTAAAAGTCTTAAATCCAATCATTTTAATGTAAGGTCTTAAAATGTCTAAAATTCTCTTAAAATCTCATAAAATGTCTTAAATACGATTTTGAAAGGTCTTGAAAATGTATTAACTCTACTGAAATAAATAACATGCCATAGGAATAAAGACTGAATGAAACTTGAAGTAATTTAAAATGTTCCGTTTTCCCTTCACGTCTTCTGTACTTTTGTCAAATGGGTCTTAAATTGTATTTTTTATGAGCGGTCTTTTAAAAGTCTTAAAAAGTCTCTAGTTTGACTTGTTGAAACCTGCAGAGATCCTGTTGTAGACTAGGCGCAGGCATGTGGTGTTGCATATCTGAGGATACTTGATTTGTTGCACACAATCTGATGTGAATAGACATTCAGTCCTATTTATGGTGAATAGCAACGCAGACCAGGATAGGTGTGCCAAACGAAAGGCTTTTCATCCCCATTCGGTCATGATAAGACATTTGTACAACACAGGGTTAACTTTTGAGAAACTTTCTGGAGAGAAAGTTTGATCGCAAAGTTGGTTGGCCCCGCCTCCAGGCAAATTGGCTGTGGCTGGTGGGTTTGTTATCTATAGATATCAGAGTCAAAGTAGATGGTTTTAACCCTTTACCTCTTAGAGATGCCCGCATTATCAGCAGTTGATGTGGGGGAAGCTTTGTGCAGCAGTCTTTCAAATGATACCTCAGAGTAACTTACATAGATACAGCAGCAATGAAAACAATCGGATCAATCGGAACAATCGGATCAAACATACTGAAAAATATTATAGGAAGCAATACTTAACCAACCTTTAATATACAAGAAAGACAGGAAATGACACTTCATAATTTTACTGTGATTTATTGTATTTTTGCTAATTTAAAAAAATTCCCTCCACAGAGTGTCAATTTTTAAAGTTTTCAAACCTATATTCTGCTTTCAGATCCACTCTTACATTAGCTCTCAGCCTGCATGAGGAAGTACTGAGTCAAGAGGAGGAGAGAGAATAGATGGAGCAACAAGTTTCTCAATAAACATAACACACTGTCTTCTTCATTTGGATGTGTTTTTGTCCCTCTTGTAGATTCTGAAAGGATGTGCATGTTTACGTTTGACGGTCATGTGACATGGGTCCAGACTCTGCGTGCAGAGTCAGTCCTCGGTGTATTTGAGTTAGGGGCTGCATGAGAGTGATATCAGATAAATGTTTACTTTAGATTATTTATAGAAAACAAACTGCAGGTCATTTGACGGATATTGCACATCCTGCATTGTGACCATTGCACATGTGCGCATCTCAGTTGCTATGGTAAAAAAAAAAAGTCGTATTCAGCCCTACTGTGAATAAGATACCTACTGCTGCTGCTTGTCCCTAATAGTGGGGACTACCAGCCAACAACTGGACTACCTCTCTGCCCTTCTGTTGACAAACATAGCTTGTGCAAACAGATCCTGTTTTTGCCTTTTCTCGGGTAGTTGAGATATTCTTAGAGCCGGACTTGCTTCATCTATAGGACCAGTTACTCATTACACAAGTCATATGATGGTGAGCAGTGAATCACGACATCATTACGTTTGTGACCCACTTCTCTTCATTTCCAAAATGGTTAATTTTGTACATATATTTTTATTTATCAGTCTTACAAACTTAGCAATTACAACACAGAGTGATTTTAGAACAAGAAAACACACGTGCTGCATCTTTAGTGTAAATAAAAAAGGTCTAAAACTGGTGTTAGCTGAAATGGTGAAGACATGAAACTCTGCTGCTGCAGGTTTTTAGGAACTTCAGATTTTCAAGAAGTTTCGACTCGCTCGCTCTCTCTCTATCTCTCTCTCTCCCTCTGATCATCTACAGGTTACAGACAAACTTGCACAGAAAAGAGGTGCAAAGCATGTGCATGGTAGTTTATTGATCATAGCTGGAATCATTAACAGAAATGCATAAACAAAAGTGATCAAACTTGGATCAGACATACTGACCTGTTCATTCAGAGCACACTGTGGGTGGGGTCAGTACAGGGTTATGTATTTGTAATTCTGCCAGCAGGGCTCCACTGTGGATACGCCATCATTTGAGCAGTTTGACCCATCTGACCTCGTGTTTAGTGCTTTGGCACGGCTCATAGCCTTGGCTCAGTCTGGAGCTGCGGCGCGATTAGCTCCGAGCATCTGTCGCCCAACTTCTATTTTTTTTTTTGTGATCCTCCCTCACATCTGCACCGTCGTAAGTCACGGTCGGTGTTAATGTGCACTTAGAGCTCAGCCTGCCTGGGGGGGCGGTGGCGCTTTAAAGGAGTCAGACTCCGGGTGCAGCGTGCGGTTCTAAAAATGGGACACAGCCGAAAGAGTCCTACATTGAGGATTCTATTATCCAGTGATAGAGAGAGAGAGAGTGAGAAAATAAAATGAAGGAAAAAAAGATAACAAGGGAGGGATGTTGTAAAAGGAGAAGCAGCACATATATACAGACTCGTCAGCCTCTTTGGCAGACTGTTATCCAGCCCAGCCCAGGGAGTGGAGAGATTGTTGCCTTTGTCTTGGTGAAAGAGGCAGCACTCGAGGAGAGTAAATCAGCTCTTTGTTTTTCTCTGCCGCTCCCTAACATGTCTTCCAGTGTTCATTAATTAGATTAGACATGGAAAAGAAGCAGGCAATAACATGCCATGAGATAAAAACCACAGTATACACCCAAGTGTTTCTGGTAAACAAAGTCAACAACACCCCATGAGAGGAAAATACCCCAGACCACAGGTGTCTGGAGTATGTTCAGTCGGTGTCTGGGGCTTTTGGATTTTTCTTCCTCATTCGAGCTCTTGTTCTCCATTTATCCAATAAGACGAGAGACACTTTCATCCATCGTTTTCACCAGTATCTTCAATCTTCCTCACAGGTCTTAGCGTTGACTTATTTGCTGTTTGTTTTACTCCTCTTGGCTAATCACGCCGCAAGAAGGTTTAGCTCCGTGTGTTTGCCTAAGATCAGGTTCGGGGCCCTATCTCATTCTCAAGGCCAGCTGCAGCTGAAACTAAAACTCGACTGCTTCAAATAAAAACCAAGAGCTCTCGATCAATGAGGTCACTGTCTGGTCCCTGAAGACAGTCAGGGAGAGGAGAGGGGGGGGTAAAAGGTGAAACTCCATCTACTCCCATGACATCAGAGCGGCTAAGTACTGCCTCACTCCTCCTGTGCTGCTGCAGTATTAACTTAAGCATAGGCTAACTGTGCTGAATTTTACACCAGTCATAAGACCAGTTCTTCTGAATGTGCTCATTGTTTGCTTGTGGATCACTGAACTCTCTAATCATACTTTTAAAACAACCAGGGGGGGGAGAGAACTTGAAAGTTCCTGTGATAACCAACTCTGCAGACAATGGGGCCACGCTTATAATGCAGATCACATCATCGCTGCATTTGCATAGGCAGCACACTCAGGAATATTTATAGGCCTGTGTGCTAAATTTAAAGCAATACTCCACATCATTAGTGCAGAAGAGTGTGAGAGAGCTCCACTCCCTGATGTAAGCTGCAGTACCCCTCTCTTCTTTACTCCCCCCTGACTGTACAGTAATCTTTGCCATCTTCCTGGCCCCCAGGTTTGGTTTTGATTCCTAATACAATAGACAATCGCTGGACTGCTCCTGAGAGGAAATCTTCCCCTCTTTATGTTTCTGAAGAATGTGAATACTTAGGTTGGCTTCAGCTGTGAGTGTTGGAAACCAAATAGAATAGTCATTTATGTCTGTTATTTTAAGAATACAATTGGTTGCAGGGGAAATTATGTCTAACTAGAGCAAACCTTGGAAACCGTAGCTGGCATTTCTTCAGGATCCTTGCCCAGCTGAAGTGGATAACAGTCTACTACTTGAATACACCGTCAGTGCTGTGCTGTCGTCTGCGGCTTTAATGCCATTTAAAAAATGAAATACAGGCACAAGTTTCTGAGAAGTCTTCAGAAATCTGTGGAAGAGTTGATTTAAATTCTCTTGTGTTGTCTCTTTTCTCCTCCTAGGTCTACTGAGACGCACCAGAGCCCTTGAAGTTCTCAGCTTTGATGCAGTACAGGTAGAGCTATTTATTCCCAAACTCGGATCTAAATTTACCGTCTGTGTGTCTCTCAGCTCCTCATCATTGTGTCTGCGGCAGGCAGCAAGAGTTTAAGGATCAAATGCAGATACAGACAAGGTAGATGAGGAGGAGTTCAGTGTTATCTTCATGAATAAATAGGCAAGATATTTAACATGGGAGACAGCTTGTGTGGAAATCCAGTTCTCTGTAATTTGATGACTTATTAGGCTGAAATAAATGCAGATGAACTAATTTCTATTGCAGAAGTACAAGAAAAAAAAAGGCCAGCATTGCTCACTACTTCTGCTTGTCAATTCAGGAGGGGAAACCCTGTTTCTCCTGACTTCAGCAGAAATCTATGTCGTATTGTCCTTGTCATTCTCGCTAACTATTTCACTGCAAGACATAAGCTCACACTGACCCAGATGACTGAGAGGAGATACAAGTTTGTCTGTGGAGTACTTTATTCCGTCCATTCTGATGTTCCTTTTTCCTGCCGTTTCCTCTTTCCATCAGTGAACCTGGTTCAAGATGACGGAAGAGGTGATTGTCATCGCCAAGTTCGACTACATGGCCCAGCAGGACCAGGAGCTAGACATCAAGAAGAACGAGCGCCTCTGGCTCCTGGACGACTCCAAGTCCTGGTGGAGGGTCCGGAACGCCACCAATAAAACGGGCTTTGTGCCGTCGAACTATGTGGAGAGGAAAAACAGCGCCAGGAAAGCCTCTATCGTCAAGAACCTCAAAGACACACTAGGTAACAAATTCAGTTTCTGTTCTGTTTGCAAGTGATTCGGTGTTGAGTTCTCAAAGTTCAGCTTTCTTCTCAAAAAGAGGGAGCAAACAAGATTCCAGTGAACCTAAAGAGACTTTGAGAGTGTCGACATTCGTGAAGTCTGACTCACTTTTCGTTTCATACATAATTGGTCTTAAGAAACTTAATCGAGTAGCACAGGGGAACATTTTGGCTTCGACTGCATCATTTCCAATGTAGCGTGTGATTGACCAAAATACCGAGAGCTTCTTGCTTCACACTTGAACTGAAACTTCAGTATCTGATTGCAGAACCTGTAGTGTAATGTCAAAGTGCTTTCATTTTACCATGAAGCTCACACACAGGTAAGGGGGTTTCATATTTCTCTTATTTCAGTGTGTTTTTTTCAGACTTTAAACTTTCCTGTGCCACCAAACAAGAAAGTCAAAATATATCTCAACTTTCTGTTTGTGTGAGAGCAGTTGCAACAGTGCGTGTCCTTCTGCTCTCTTCTATCCATCAGGATCAGAACGGCGCAGGTGTCGTCTGCTCTGTCAACACAGTCGTTATATTTCTGGGCACTGCTGTTTGCGGAGGGCTTCGTTCTGCCGGGCGCAAGCCAAACGTAACCGCGTTTGTAAGCCAAGGTTACCATTCGTCTCTGCTTCATTCTTCTCGATGACAGACACTGATGATAATTCGGGGATCTGCTCTCTGACCACTGGCATCCAGTCTGGAGCACAGTCAGAGTTATTCTATTAAATCTCCCTCTATGATCGTCTGTCTTCTGTTTTTTTTTTTTTTTTCCTCTGTTTCTGATGCTTTTAACACTCTAATCTCTTGAGTTGTTCTGCTCTGCAGGGCGTCATTGTCCCAACTAAGAGCATTATGGGATAACCACATGTGTTGGTGTGCTTCGGCCATGTTTGTTTGGCACAGATCTCATTAGATTAGGTTAAAGGTTCGTGTTCTACTACAGCATTTATTACAGAGACTTAGAGGCACGCAGCAAACAGGCCTGTGTGTTCATGGCATTTTTTTCGTGTTGTTTTTAGAGATGCACCGATCCATTTTTTTCTGATCCAGTCCAATATCGATACCTGGGTTGACCGTATTGACCGTATTGATATCTGATACCGGTCCAGTACTACTGTTGAATGAATGAATGAATGAACTGTCTACCTTGCTCTGTGAGTGAAGGCATCAGGCTTGACATTAGCCTTGTTAAAAAAAGGTAACAAATTAATACAGATTTAAATTTACTTAATATTATTTATCAACAAATAACAAATTGCACATAAGCGCACAGCAAAAAGAAGTAAGACTTCCATGTAAACATTAAGTGCAAAAAGAGAGACAGACATAGAATGTAGAGCGAACAGAACCGCTGTGTTGTTGTGTTTGATATTAATTCAAAGAAGAAGAAAAAAAGACTGGATCGGCATCTTTCATCAGATATCAGATCCAGTTAATTTGTCAATATCTTATCCAAATATCGTATCGGTGCATCCCTAGTTGTTTTGTTGTGATGATAAACTATGAATGCTTCCAGTACAGTCTTTTTTTCTCATCCTCCCTCTTCTTCTTTGACAAAAAACAAAACTAACCACACTTATGAGACCACCAACGCTTGTTGCTCTATCTCCTCAGCATCTTTGTTGTGGTGATGATGATGATGATGACACACTGCAGAGAAGGGTGACTTGTGCGAGGAAACCCTGCGCCCCCAGAGCTGCGTCTTCTCTGCACCGAGTAAAGAAGAGGGGGGTTCTTTCTGTTCTTTCTGAAGCCAGAAGTGTGTCATCAAAGTCTGGTTTTATCGCACACTGCAGCCTCTGCACGAGACTTATCTTTCCGACATGTGAGCTACAGCTTCCTGTGTTTTCATTTCGGTGTCGATGTTGTGTCACGAAGGCAGGGCTGTGCGCGGAAATGCTCTGGTGGAATACGATCTGTACACTCCGATCCATAACACAGACTTTTTCTTGAGTTTCTGAGCTGCTCTCTGCTCACCGTCTGTTTTGCCCTCAAGTTGCGCAGGTTTATTTGTTATGTATAGTGTGTGTGCATGCGTGTACGCGTGTGAGGCTCGGTGGGGGCTCGTGTTATCATGCACCACATCCTTAAAACCTCCCAACGACACTTCCCACCTGTCACTACCTCTGTTGATCAAATAACCTCAGGTGAACAGGTGCAGGAATGACACACACATACGCGCACACACACACTCAGGTCTCATAACCCTAATAAAACACACACACACTCTGATGTAAAACCTGAGTGAAGGCGAAACACGAGCCTCATAAACACTAATACAATCAGAATGAGCTTGTAAATACGTCACCTTCATTTGTAGCTCTATTATATATATAAGCAGATTTAAACTGTCAGACTGTGGGCGGTGATGTTGTGGGAGGCAGATAAGCATACTTATGTTATGGAGGAGGAAATCCTTTTTCTCTCTCTCTCTCTTTTTTTAAACACGCCTGTTGCTGGGTGTGGATCGGTGTCATCATTTTGAGGAATGTGTGAGGGGATGATTCCTCAGCCAGAGGATTCATGTTTCCTGGGTTTGTTGTAAAGTTATGAGTGCGTCTCTACAAACAACTGCCGTCATGTGACGCTCAAGCTCTTTCTGACTCACTCAGCCGATGCAGCGTCTTCACTAAAGGAATTTATTTAGTCCCCCTTCTCTTCAAGAAACACAAATCAGCGGCTAAATGCGGATGAAAAAGCTCCTTTACTTTCCCTCTATCTCTTTTCTTTCATCTTTTCTCTCTCTGAGTCTGAACTTCAACCCCCCTTCCCTTCCTCCCCTCCCCTCCCCTCCTCCTCTTCCCTCCTTCTTCCCCTTTCCATGAGGCCTCTGCACTCTGCCTTCCAGAGCTGCACCAGAGGCCCTCTCTATCCCGCGCTCCCATTGGCCAAACCCTGATCACATGCTTCCTGGAGTGGGCTGCCCTGCTCCGCTATCCACCCAGGCTCTTCTGGGTGTTCACATGGAATAACTCCACAGCTGCAGTGGGAAGAGAGCGAGGGGCCGGGAGAGAAAGAGAGACGGCGAGCCCAAAATGGACATGGCTAACCTATTCAAACATTTCTTTCGTGAGTTCTCAAACTTTTTCTGCCCGTTTGTAGAAGTTGCTTTGACTTTGTCGCCGTTTCAAGAAGTGTAGAGCACTTGTGTCTCTTTTACTTTCTCTCTGACTGTGCAGTAGCGGTTGTCAGCCGTTTTTTTCCTCCTTCATCTTCCCTCTCTGATTTTTCGCTTTGGTTCCCAGTCGGTGTCGGCGTCAGGTTAGCTGAAAGAATGTGTTATTATTAGAGCAAGAGGAAACCGATTTATATGTACTAACATGTTGAGAGAGAAAGAGAGAGAAGTCGAAAGGGTGTCTTCACAGTCTTTTGAGGCTGTGTGTTAGTGTGTGTGTGTTAGTGTGTGTGTTAGTGTGTGTGTGTGAGCGGCTGCAAAGACTGGGTGGATATGCTTTTGAAAAGGCTTCTGCTGAGCTGAAGCCTGTAATTGCCACAGCAATCCCTCTCTGTCTCATTCTTTCAAACACACTCACACACACACACTCAGATGTACACACACGCAGTAATCCTACTTCATTTTCTGTCCGAGTAAGTGGGCTGCGACTCGATGGATTATCATGCTCGAAGACCCCTCTCCACTCTTTTTAGGAGTATCCCAAGATGTAGCCAGAGTCTGTTTTCTTTTATGCTACCCTCAGGGCGAGCTTTCTGGGAGGCTCCTCCACCCCCCCACCCCCTCTCCAACCCCGCCGCCACTCACGGGCTACAGTGGAGGGAAGCGGGGTGCTCATGTAGAACACTGTAGTCATTGTGCGGGGGGGAGAGGAAGGGGGTCTCTGCTGATTGATGGGACCCGGGTGCCCATCTCCTGCACCTCTCCGGGCTATCAGAGGAATGTCATTACCTCGGCAGCTCTGAGGGCCGCGGATACTTTACAGCCACACTGACACACTTTTTCGAAAAGCCCCGGCGCACACTCATGCTGTAATCTCACCTTGTAACTGTTGAGTGGTATCTCCTGTCTCTTCACACGAGTGGAGTGTGTATCTGTGTGTGTGTGTGTTTGTGTCTGCTGACTAAAGGGCCTGAGAGGAACATGGTGATAAGCTAACAAACCTTGTGTAAACTGAGAGCTGTTAGCCTCCTCTCCCTCTCTTTTCTCTCTTTTCTCTCCCCACCCTCTGTTTTCCTGTTTCTCAGCCTCCCCAGCGAGCGGAAACTCTAATTTGAGCCACATTTCTCCCTCAGCCCTTTCGGAGGAGCGCTGGCCAGAGAGGAAGCCAGAATTTAGAAGGAAGCTGAATCATTGTGCCGGGGTCTCTTGCCTGTTGGACTCTCTGGCAGGTTCTGACTCCCGCTCCTTTTCTTCAAACCAGCCCTTAACGTTCCTCCTCATCCAGAAGAGACATTATAGTAATTATGACATTGGCAGGAGAGCCTTCAGCGTCACTCAGAGCCTCTTGTAATGCCGTCTGCTTTGTTTCACTCAGTCTCTCTGTTTTCCTGCGTCCTCTGCCATTAAGCGTTGCTTCAGAGGAAGTGAGCAGTGGTCTGGGCTTGTTGAGGAGAGCCAGCGTTGTAAACATGTTAGCAGAGAAGAGTGGAAACATCAACAGGACATCTCCCTGTGTCTGCTGAACCTAATGCTCAGCTGCATCTTCTGTCTTTTTTCATCATCTGTGAATGTTAAAGGATAATTATTCCTCAGCTGTTGGATAAACATGTTTAGTTTGTAGTAGAGCTGAGCTGTGCAGTTGATTCTTTGTGATTTTTGTCCTTCAAATACGTCTAAAGATGTGAGATTGACTCAGGATCTGGATCATGACAGATAAGACTTATCTGCGTCTGTGTTTACAGCAGTTTGTCTCACCTGGTGTTCAGCCCATACAACTGTCTGATTGACTCAAAGTCACTCGACTGTGTGGCACAGCTGTGAGTGTAACTGCTTGGAGCCCCTGAGGGGAGTTTTTTTTTTAACTTCAACAGAAATCAACTGAAATTCATACGAATGCTTTTTCAAACGAAAAGAAACAAGACCAACCATGTATTGGTTTTATGTGTGTGTGTGTGTGTCAAAATACGAATAATTGTTTTGATATCAACCCCAAAATCGCGGGGACGACAGAGATCATCCTGAACAAAGTGACACAAGATTAGGGCAGAGGAAAATACGACTGATGCTGGATCAGGATAATGCAGAGGACTGACTGTGTGTTCATGAAATACCAAAATGAAAGGACATTGATGGCCAGAGACTTCCTCCAGCTCAAAGCCCTAACAATTGCCAAAGTGGCTTCATGTGGTAATGTTCAAAAATGAGAAGAAAAGCCCAAAAATTGATTTTTTTTTTAATTGAAGTTATTGTAAATACATTTTTAAATGATTTAAATGTAACTGTTAAAAAGATAACGAAAACAAACTTTATTTAAGAAGTGTTCAGAGCAACATACCTCCACACCTCCTGTACTCTGAAAATGATTTTTTGTACATTTTTAGAACAAAGCTGTTTAACGATCGAGTATTAAAGAAAAGGTTTATTATCAGATAGGGGGTGTCCCAATACAATATTGATATCCGATATCGGTCCAATATTGGCAAAACTTCGAACATCGGAATATATCGGCCTGCATCCAAAATCTCTGATATCAGCACTCTGATACAAGTACTAGTGTGTACAAGTGTGTACTAAGGTACTAACAAAGTACCAAGGAGTAAGAGTGATGTTGGCCATGTGGCATTTTTTTTCATTAAAGTATTGGAGGTAAAAATGTTGTCTCGGGACACCCCTATTATCAGATCATATAAGTAGTTTCAGCCCTTGTCTCCACAATTTCAGCAAAAAAGTAAACGAAGTCCGTCACAAGTTTCCAGAGATTATGCTGATGTCTGAAAGGCTTTAGTTTCTCCACGCTACAGTCAAGAACCAAAAAGAGATTCATTTTTCAATTTTAAGAAAACTAGAAAATATTACCTCTAAAGATCGACAGGAAACAGTGACTTATCTGCAAGAAAATGCTGAAATAGTCGTTTATCAAAAAGAAAAGACTCTGAATTTGTTCACCAGCAACACATATATGTTAAGTCTGATGGCAGAAAAATGCAAATCGTAGGAAAAAAGGGCAAAAGCGATAAAGGACGATCAAAGGTTATAAGATGAGGACACATCAGATAACAGAGAAAAGATGATGAGCAGTGAGATAAATCAAACTCTTGACAGGCTTCGACATTTAAAAGCTTTGGCTTCCATAGAAAATGGGAAAATGTCTTTCATCTGAACTAAATATTGAATTTAAGTTCTTTTTATTTCTTAGTATTCGGTTCAGAGCAGCAGAACAATACTGAGGTGTTGGTGTTGAAGAGAGAACAATCCAACAGGATTGTGGTTGAAGATTTGGGTCACCTAGAAAGAGGTGAAGAAGAAAATAGGTCAAAAGAAAAAAAGTTTCACAGTGGAAATGAAAATGCTGCCATTTGAGGGCGAGATAACCACTCACTCTGCTGTTGGTGCTCTGACACTTGGGTACACAGATACAGACACCTTCGCTTGAGTCACAGTCACGGCTACCTGCTGCTCTTCCTATCAGGAGAGTTGTACTTGGTGGAGCTTCTCACTGAAACCCTGACCTGTCAGGATCTTTAGAGACCACATAAAGCCTCACGACTCTGTCTCACCCCCCTCTGCTTTATCACAGAGCCTGATGCCTGCCTGTGTTTGATGTCTCACACGGCTGAAGTTGAAAGAGCTTCTCGCAGGTTTCATGCGCAGCCATCAGTCAGCCGTGAGTGAGCTGCTCGATTGAAGCTGTCAGCCAAAACCTTCCCAATTGAAGCCTTCGCCAGCTCACTGTTGTGTGTGTGTGTGTTCCCTTTACTTTGTTTGACTCACTCTTTCTGACTGCACGTGGTGTCATTACATTTAATGTGCAAGTCTACAAGCAAGCAGACCATACGGCTCAGGGATTCTGTGTTGCGTCACATGTCTGGGGGATGTGGGTGACACATTGTTGTCGGTCAGTCTCACCTCTGATTTGAGGACTCTTGCTACATAACTATTAGGTAACCAGGTGGAATTAAGGATTCTTCTCAATCGTAGGAGAATGTTTTGCTCTGAAATGAAACAATCTCTACACCGCTGATGGACTTGCCCCAGTGACCATGTTTCGTGTAAATGCAGGGATGTTCTGACGCTGTCAGACAGTCTGACGCGGGGTGTTGTCGCCCATAGAGGAAGAGCCCTGGAATGGAGGGAAGCCGGGGTCGAAAGGGCCCTGGCAGACAATGGCAGGCCAGCCAGCGTGTGGGGGCTAAAGCTAAAAAACAAAACTACTTCCTGTCTGTCACTGGCAGCTAAATAAACTCTCCAGCACTTTCTTCTCCTCTCACTGCCGCTCCGCATCTGTAAACAAAAAGTGAAGCTTTCATATGGCTTAAGCATAATACCTGCTGAGGTCTTTTGTCATTGTTCGCTGTGATTTAGTGCCATCTGACGCAGCGTGACTTCCTTCCTCGGCATCCCTCTCTCAGGAAATGCACAGGAAAAAGCACGTGACGTCAGAAAGTTTTTCCAGCACACAGCATGGCTTCATTTCTTCTCAGGTTTCCCAGGTAGCTGCAGAGGAGCGGTGGCATGGTTTGTGGGTTTCATGGGAGGTGCTTAGCAGCAACATATTCACACACACTCAAACAAACAGACACACACAAATTTCGTAAAGTTTTCAGCCTTCAGGGTTGGCTTTAAGAGGAGGACTGTGTCTGCCTCGCTGGGGAGGGGTTTGAGTGTTTATTTTTAGGTTTTCCCTTCCAGTGATGCCTGTGATGGTCGAGTTAGCTGTTAAGGTATTTTGTTTACATTCAGGGTCTGAAACTTCTCAGACGTGGCGTTTTTCAGGTAGTTTTTTTTAGCAAATACTAAAATCTTTCTCTTATTTTTCTGAACTCTTTTGTAGTGCCAGATTCCACTTTAACCAGCCCCACATGGCCATAGAATCTGGACAGTGCTGGGCCCTCATGTATATGTATATGTGTGTTCAGTGTCTCATAATGAAATGAGCTCCCAGCTTCCGTCTCAATAACCCATGTTATCAGTTACAGCAGCTCATAAATCCTGTCTGAAAAGCTGTGTCAGACTTTGACACAAATGCAGAATATTAATACGTGTTAGTTTAGAATTCAAAGTGTTCAAATCTTTAAAGCAACATTTTAAAAAGAGGAATTAAGTCCTTTTTTTTTTCTTGGACTTAAAATGAAAGTTAAATGAAGACATAACATTTGAAATAGAGCGATGAATGATGGACAAATGTCTGTCTGACTGTGCAGGAATGACAAGAGCTTTGCTGCACTTTTATAACAGGGTCTTTAGTGTGTCTGTGATGACACTCGGTTCAGATCACTCTCAGCTGCGTTGTCATCTTTGATTTTACAGAGTTGATCAAAACTGTGATGTAGGGCTGGGTGATAAAACCAAAAATGTACAGATACCAAAATTTACAACAATAACCGACATCATTTTGCTCATGTCAGTATATTCTGTGTCAAATAAATAAAAGCTGGTTTTGGTTGTGTGTAGGAAAGCTATGGTCTCATGTCCCTTTTAAGATGCTGTTCTACGTCAGAGACATGACTCCACCCCATCCAGTCCGTAACAAAGAGGGAAAGACAGGTGAGGAGATGGAGGACGGTTCAAAAGTTGTAGCGGTGGCTGAAGTAGACGAAGTTAATGTGGGAGGTGGTGAGCAGCTTGTGGAGTAGTTATCGTCCATTTAGCGTTATTGAGGTCAGCTGCTCAATATATTGTGATATTGATTTAAGGCCATATCGCCCAGCCCTACTGTGATGCCTCATACCAATCATACTACTTATTGTATCCCCAGAGTAACGCTCTGACACTGACCAAATGAACACTGTCGAGGACTTTTTTAATTTGAAGAAAACTGAAACTCTTGAGTGTGTTATACGAAGTGAGGAAAGTATCAACTTTCCATTCTTCGTATCACACCAAAAATATTTCATCTAATTTAGGATGTTCTTTCCTGTGTTATTTCTGCGGGTAAGAGAACATTTCAATTTAATGTGCGAGTCCCTGAGTTGTATGAAACAGTTCTCCTTTGAAGATCGATGGTTGGACATTATTCTCTTTTCACGCATGTATTTCGAACACCAGATAACACCCTCTTTCCCCCACATTGAAATCACATCCATTTCTCACTGACGGTCTCCTGTTAAAACCAGATGAATACCACCAAACGTCTCCTATCAAGGCCCATGTTCTTTAAAGATCCTCCTCCATTGGATCCCAAACCTTGGCAGAATATCAAAGAAGTCGCTGCCCCAAACAGTCACCGTCACTTGAGCAGATTGCAGCTGAGCCCAGCAGTGAAGACAGTGGCCTTTTACTCTGAAGAGCGCCTCGCTGTGCGTTTGGTGTGACAGTCTGTTGAGACGAGAGCGGAAGCACAAACTCCCTGTTGTTTTTTGGCCGCCACACCGCCGAATTCTCTGCAATTAACCTGCAGCAGCATGACAGATGGGCCCTGAGAGAAGCAGGTGCCCTCAATAACAACCCCTTATCTTCTCCCACTATCACCTCCCTGTAGCTGTGCAGGCAAATCCCAACTTCCCTGTTTAACCCCGGCTGAGATTGAACATCTAGTCAAATGCATCAGTCTTGGTTGTTGTGCTTTTTTAATGCAAAGTGTGACTGAAGCAGGAAGCTGCAAATAAAATCCCCAACAGGGACCCTGATAAGAGCGGTGAGAGCTCCTCTTACCTCGTCAGAAAAGGAAAAAATCCGAAGCTCTCTGTTGTCTCTGTTCTCATCTGGAGGTTGAGACAGTTTATTTATGCAGGGTTTGACCTTTGACCTTTGTTTGGAGCTAACTAGGTCAATTCCAACTGTGCAGACAACACATCCTGGAGCCTGCACCTGCATGGACATGTTTGCTACTTAAACAAGCGCACATAGATGCTGTTTCTGTCGTTCTTGTTGCATTTGAAACACCGAGGCAAGTTTTTGGTGTGAATCCTGATATACAGCTGATCTTTTTTTTTATCTCGTCTTTATGTAACTCTCCCTGTGAGTTGTTACGGCTGCTCACATAAAACCAGATCTTACCTCCTTGCACAAACATCAGCTCTTAACACTTGGTCTGGAGTCTGTAGTTATGCGCAGCGCTGTGACTAATAACAGGGTCTACCTGGAAGCAATTTGACGTCAGACCCTCAGTGCTACCATGAAATTTGTCTGCACTCCCTCCAGTCACGGACACGTTTGGGTTACAACTTATCCATGGTGAAACTGATTCAGCGTAGCTTGTGACAAATTAGTCACGTTCTCCCGTATGGAAAACAAACAAACACTCACGCACCGTCATCACAGCAGATAGCCCTGGAGACTACACCCTGTCCTGATGTGTAATTTAAACCAGCTGACTTTTGATAATATAAGCAAAAGGTCTGCAAACGTAATCACAAACAGAGACACAAGTCAGGTCTACTTACTGTGTCTGATGATGATGATGATTCAGTCAAACTAGACTAAGGCTAGGACACTTGTTGACAGTAAGGCCGCGGTTTTGCCCTGATAGCAGAAGGGGTGAATCATTATTCAATGTCAGCAAAATTAGTTGCAACACTGGCCGGTGTAACATGTTCAGGATGAGAGGTCAGTTTGTGGAAAACATCGTCTTGATATTGTGCTTGAGAGGGGAGACAGACAGAGAGCGAGAGAGAGGACACTTAGTCTGATTGTATGATTTAAAAAGCAAATAAAATATTAATGACAGTTATTGATCGCACTTTCCTGGTATTATCCTTCAACTGAGACTGAAATAGGTGAAGGGTAAGGTTGTTCTACTTTCTTGATATAAAATTTCTCATGACTCTGTATTCCTTTTGTTATTATTTCTGTATTTGATATCCTCAGAGCTGCAGCTGAGCTGTTATGTCTAAAACTGTCTCACACGCCACAAGAAAACCTCAGAGAAACAAAAGGAGTCATCATAGACAGATCTATCACACATTAATGTAGGGGTGGGAATCACCAGTGGCCTCACCATACAATATTATCACGATACGATATTATTGCGATTTTTAACATTTTGCATTACAGTGACTATTATAATACAATATATTGTGATTTATACAGTTTTAAAACTGTTTAGCTAATTCAGCATTTGTCTTTCCTTTATGTTTGTCTTATTTACACAGTATTTTAATTTCATGTAGCACATCTTACGAACCTTTTTATTTGTTGCACTAACTTTCTTCTGCTCTATGATTTCACCTCTACAAACTTCACTGGACAAACAGTTGATTCTATTTTTCCATTATCATAGATTTGACTTTATATTAGCAATTTTATTTGAAAAATCGATACCTGGTAAATGAGACGATACAATATATCACCAGACAAGATATTGCAATACTATGCTGTTTCAATTTTTTTCTCCCACCCTACATTAAAGGGGTATTCCGACAAAATGAAGTTAGGGTCAAACACTGTAACACAGAGTTAGACACCCCCTCGAGAGATTTATGTTGCCGACCACTTGCTCCTCTAGTTATACCACCTTTAGTAACGACCGCAGGATAGAAATACATAACTTAATTTTACGCCGGAACATCCCTTTTAATGATGGTGTAATGGTGCAGCTGCTAGCGTGTGCATTCACTCTACATGTTTGTCTCACCTGCCAGGTCTGCATGAGTTTTGTCCCTGCAGCTGTTGTGTTCAGAGGCTGCCTGTTCATTTAAGCTGTCAAAAAGCTTTTTACATCTCTGTTCTTTTTCTTCTTTGTATCTCTATTCTTCATCTCTGCTGTCGTTTTCTGTTCATTGTCTTAATACAAAAACAACAAGCCCTGTTCCTTGTGTGTGTAAACCTTCTTTTGATTCTGTTTTGTTTCTTGTCTCTGGTTTGTGATGCGCAGAGATTTCTGCAGCATTTTTCGAGTTACAGTGGCAGGATAAAAACTTCTTTTAGCAGAACCAGACTCACATCAGACAGCCATCTGCTGCTCAGTTTCAGTCTCACATTAGCGTTCATTATAATGATGAGAGCCTCATTTATAGCAGTAAGAGTTAAATTGTCGACAATAGCAGATGTGCATCATTTCAGCAATGATCGACACTCAGAAAAGTGTTGAGTCGCAGCCCTGAGTAGCAGTCAACAAACACTGCAAGAACGATCGCAAAGCTCCACCGTTGACTCCTTCTCTCTGCTCTTTTGGAAAGTTGGAAGTCGGTGTGATCTCTACCCTCTGCTAGCTCCACATGTGTTTCATTCAACTGTTACCACGCCGGGCTGCCAAGTGGAAAGTCTCATCCAGTAAGACGATGACTTGTTCCTGCCAAAGCTCTGCCTCCCGACTACATAACCCAGAAACAGGCCAAAGAGTCCTGGTAATCCCCCTTCTGTTTGCCTCTGGGCTGATTCAGAAGATGCCAGAAGGTGAACTCCAAATACGCTAACATTCACCCCCGTGGTCGTTTCCTGTTTGACTGGCTGACATTTAACCTGCAAACCGATCTGCGAAACCACAGCTGATAAGGTCTGGAGGAATAAGCGCTTTTAATCATGCGGGGCTGAAGTCAAACGGTCACCTCGGCGGGGGGCTTCTTGGACTGGGATGGATTTTAAGGAGGGATGGGGGGAGTTTGAAGAAGAAAGAAATGGGACAAAGTGTTTTTTTTTTTTCTTTTCTTTTTTTATCCAGCTGCTGTGTAAGCAAAGCCGCAGGTGTCTGGGCAGCCAGGGTGATTAGTGCAATGTGATTAGCAACAATGAAATGTGACTGAGCTCTTTTGCCCGCTCGGTTCACTCTGAGGTAGCAGGACTTTCCTCGGCTAATGTACATTTAATGGTTTCCAAAGGATTTAGTTCCTAAGTTTTCAACCCACTCTTTTATATTTTTTACCACGTCATCATTGCTTTTTGTTTCTTCAGCGCCTACACCTAATCCCCGAGAAGACATTTGAATCAAAGTGTGGGGGTTTAGCACACTGCAATGAGGAAAAATACTTTTTTTTTTAACCCTGCTCACCCACCCTCTCTCCATCTCAGCAAAGTCCTAATGCCTATTACCATCAGCTGGTATTTGTCTGGGATATTTTCCCTCCTCTCGTGTATTTTCAGAGGTGTTTTCTAACTGTGTTTTTGTGGTTTCTGTTTTGCTGTTGAAACATGTTGAAAATGGTGTCTCCAGAGGTTTGTGTTTTGGTCAAATGTTGCTCTTAAAGGTTTAATTGACAGATGAGGCCTACATCCATCTGCGGGTTCAGTGTCAGCTGCCTCGGTATTGAGTTCAAACACTGGACTTTAACTTTTCATGACACTGGTGTGATTTCTAAAGCTATAACACTCTTCTGTGTTTCCTTTCTTTAGGAATCGGGAAGGTGAAGAGCAGAAAAGGAGGGATGAGGGACACGGCCTCCAACGCAGACACAGACATGTACGCAGACAACGGCGAGCGGCTCTACGACCTCAACCTGCCCGCGCTGGTCAAGTTCAGCTACACAGCCGAGCGCGAGGACGAGCTGTCTCTGGTGAAAGGCACACGGGTGGTGGTGATGGAGAAGTGCAGCGACGGCTGGTGGCGTGGCAGCTACAACGGCCGCTCGGGTTGGTTTCCGTCCAACTACGTGACGGAGGACGTGGACGGGACAGCGGGGGGAGGGGGTATGGGCGGGCTTGGAGACCCGGCAGGATCACTAACGGAGAAGCTGGCGGCGGTAGTGAACAGCACCACCAACGGAAACAGAGTGCTGCACACGGTCCAGGCGCTTTACCCGTTCAGCTCAGGCAACGACGAGGAGCTGAACTTTGAGAAAGGCGAGGTGATGGAGGTGGTGGAGAAGCCGGAGAACGACCCTGAGTGGTGGAAGTGTCGCAAAGCAGATGGACAGCTGGGCTTGGTGCCCAAAAACTACGTCACTGTGCTGGACTCCACCCTCCATAAATCCGGAGCAGGGCCCGCTGGGCCACCCACACCAGACTGTGACTACATCTCGCCTTCAGGTAGCGGGCGCTTCGCGGGGAAGGAGTGGTACTACGGGAAGGTGACGCGCCACCAGGCGGAGGTGGCCCTCAACCAGAGAGGCATCGAGGGAGACTTCCTTATCCGGGACAGCGAGTCGTCGGTCGGTAAACTCCGCCTGCATGCATCCCCATTACTGATTATTCACTGTTGAGCAGTGTGAGACGATAATGACAACTGTCAGCCCCAACAAATCTGACGAGGTTTAACGTCATCGAATCGCCTTTATTGTTTTTGCTGCTTTCAAATGTGACGCAACTTCATCCATGTGTCTCACATTCATACAGTACAGTGTAGAAATGACCTGAAAACTGCCTTTTTGAGAATGTTACAGTTTATACAATCCAGTCATGATAATGTGTTAATACTTAGAGAGTAAAAGATCAGGTTTTGAAGTTGCAGCTCAAAACTCAAGTTTAAAACTTGAGTTTAGTTGAATTATTTCATAACACAAGGAAAACTATATCAGTATGATGTTAGTCAGAGACATCAAAACATCAGAAATTTGGCATTTTCACTCTGGACTGTCCTTGGCAAGAGTGAAAACAGTACACCAAGTTTCATTTTCGAGGGTATCCGCAGGGTCTAAAAAATGTCTTACTATGTCTAAAATCCAATAATTTGAATTTAAGGTTTTAAAATTTCTAACATTCTCCTAAAATGTCATAAAATGTATTAAATACCATTTTGAAAAGTCTTAAAAATGTATAAACTTTACTTACTAATAAATAACTTAACCTACAAATATAGATCGATTTGAAATAATGTAAAATGTTCCAATTTGCCTTCATGTTTTTGTACTTTTTTGCCTTTTTTGGTACTTTTTTTATGGTTGTAAAATGGGTCTTAAATAGTATTCACTGCTGTCTTTAAAAAGTCTCAAAAAGTCTTAAATTTGACTTTTTGAAACCTGCAGAGACCCTATTTTTAAGCCTGTAGATAACCTGTAGATGAATGTTGGGTATCAGGGGATGCACAAGTTCATAAGGGATTCATGTGGTTTGGGAACGTCTCTGACCACTTTCTGTTTCGTATATCCAGACGTTAAAAATAAACCGTCTGAGCCTCGATAATAACACCTGGCGTTTCTTCCTCTTTTCGCAGCCAAACGACTTCTCCATCTCCCTGAAGGCGCAGAGCAAGAACAAGCATTTCAAAGTGCAGCTGAAGGAAAACCTTTACTGCATCGGACAGCGCAAGTTCAACTCCATGGAGGAGCTTGTCGAACACTACAAAAAGGCGCCCATCTTCACCAGCGAGCAGGGAGACAAACTGTACCTGATCAAGGCCCTGGCTGCCTCCTGATCCCTCTCTGTCGCACACACCCGCACTTACACACACACGTACACACACACACACACACAAATATAGATCGTTAACTGCATCCATATATATACATACAGATACTTAACGTCAGAACACACACTAACATTCAAACTCCCAGCCTGAGGACTTAACACATCATCAGGACTTTTAATGCCCGGTTTGTGAGCATTCCAAGAGGAGGGATGGAAAAAGGATGGGAGAGGAGGACAAGGAATGGGAGACAAAAAGACTATGGACTCCTGAGAGATGACTACAGACCTCTTGGTCGCCTATTTTAAATTATCCAGATGTGTTAGGTCAAAGGCAACGCCATGTATTTCCACCTTTTATCTATTAGAGTCACATTTAGTTTCCTTTTTTTTTTTGTTTTTGTTGTTAATATATAATCTTTTAACAGTTTCTTTTTACAATGTGATGATTTTTAACTGTATCCAACACACAAGAATACACACACAGGCATTTCTCAGACGTTAGTCCGACCTATGGTGGTCTACACTGCACCTCTCATGTGTCGTCTGCTCGTGGACACGCTAATCCGTGACTTCAGCTAACCGCTAATCATGAATAATAAAAAAATAAATGACCAAAATATATTTATTCGCAGAAACACTCATCTGATTTTGAGGAAACTAGTAATTCATTTTTTCTTTCTTTACAACAGAACTGCTTGTCTCACATATTGCTGTATCCATATCATGTGAATGTTACAAACCTGAGGCATCACAGACCGGCAGGCGTGGGGGGGAGATGGGCTTAGAAAAAAATCCCACGACTTTGCATGCATGCACGCTAATGGGATAGTGTCCTCCTCAGGCCTTCACTCTATCCCCTAAAAGAAGGATTGGCAGTTCACAGCAGCGACACAGGTTGTGTATCCGTATGTCCGAAAAGGCCTGAAAGTGCTGACCCTGATAGTCCGGAGATCCCGCCTGTCCCCCTCCTCTTGTTGGGAGTGTGACTGACAGTTGATGCATCCTCACAGACAGTGTTTTGCCAAAGGGGATGAACAGGAAAAGAGGTGTTGAGGTGGGGTTACTCGGGTGTAACCTGCTTCCAAATTCCCCGCCAGCTTTCTGCAGAAAGCTGGGAGGGGAAATGACGGACTGGTCCAGGCAGAGCAGAGGATGATGTCACTTCTCCAGAATTAGTGATCACTGGAGGGAACAGAGGGTCGCGAAGGGGTCACGTTTGTGTGGTTTGAAACGCCCTCTTTCTTGAGAGTTTAGAGAAGGGAAGCAGCCTAGTTGTAAGTCGAATATCTCTGCCTTTATTTCCACGGGAGGAAGTCTTTCAGTTTGTTTTTTCCAGTAGAACACATGGTTTTTATCTACAGTATAGGTCTTTAGCGAGTGGGTGTTTGTTGAGTGAAAACGGACCAAGTAGAGTTGAATGTCGAGGGGGCAGCTCGCATTAGCGCCTGCAATCAGAGCTGTGGCAGCACTGGCAGGGAGCCACCCCAGCAGCGAGGCTCAGGGAGGAAGAGGAGGATGATGTTGATGCTCCCGATGATGAGTTCTCCAGCTGTTGGATCGAGTGCAGAAAAAGTGGAGAGAGAGAGAGAGAGGGAGAGGAGGAATGGAAAAGTGGACCCTTAAAAACAAAAGTCGGATCTATAGGGAGGAGACCGAATCTGGATTACCGCTCCCAGTCGCAGAGGGGTGGGGGAATCTGAGCGCAGGCCAACGCTGATGTATCACAGCAGAGAATAAAGGATTTCTAGATGGCAGTGTTTCCAAAGGGCTTTTAAGGACTAATCAGTATGAGCATGAAATAGTCAGCAGTGAGTGCTTCAAAGAGCACAAAACATGGGTGTGAACTGAATTTTCTCTCTTTCCTCCCAGAGGCTGATTGACAGAGCTATTCATACAAGAGCTGTGTGATGACTGAGAGTTTTGCAGCTGAAGATGATGGATTACAAACAGTGAAACAGTTAGCCTTCAGTTCAAAGTTATGATGAGATAAAACGGCAAGTTCTTACTCATCTACGGTCTGGGCTGAGATCTTGAATTATGTGAAATAACCATTAAAAAAAAAAAAAACACATTCCAGGATTTAAAAGCATCTGTTTGTAACTGAATCATGACAACATGGTTCAAAATGTAAAGGCAGGATTGTTTGTCAGTGTGGTTTGAGCCTTTTTGTTTTCATTTTGTTTCGGTTCCTAACTTTTAAGATTCCTTTTATTTAAGCTGACTGATCTGTCTGACGTTCGTGCCTGTTTTACCCCCTCTGTTATCAGTCACCACATGAGTATCTGGGTTTGATGAATCCTGTTACTTGTCATTTATTGCACTCGACCCCCGGCTGTTGTTGTATCTGTGCCATTTCTTCTTCTGACAATTAACACGAGATACTGTTTGCTTCCAGACAACCGCTCACAGCAACCTTCCTCTTTCTTTATCGTTTTTTTTTTTTTGTTTTTTTTTTGGAAACCCTCCCTGTGCTCCCAGCTTTGCAGCATCTGCGACATTACGCAGCATTAAAACGCCAACGCTATGTGCCCCAGTTTGAAGGATTTAGGAGATTTTTTTTAACGTGCCTTCACAGCTTTCTGTCAACCAAAGGTTTGATGTCCTTCCCTTTTTTTCCCCTCTTGTCATGGCCATGTGCTATTTGGTTAAAGCTTTGCATGTGCGTCACTTAAGTTTGATTGTGAGCGTCGTGTCGAAGGGTGTCAAACAACATCCTCGTATAAAAAGAAGGGGGTACTTCCTGATTCAGTTGGCAGAGGCTCAGTGTTTTTATTTTGAAATCATGCATAAAATGCCCACTTTTTAGGTGACATTGTGTCTAGTTTTTAAGTGACCTTACCTTTTGCGGATTTCATCATTTTAATTAAACAGTGAATGCTTACATGTACGGTATAAAAGTATGTGATGTTAATTCAAAAATGGAACTCCCAGGTGTGATCTAATCATGACCTGAATCTCACGTTCGAGCACCTCCAACGTAACAGTATCACACATTGTTGGTTGTGAAACCATTTTTAGGTGTTTCATGTAAGACTAGAGTCACTTTTGCAGCTTAGCCACTCAAATATAAGAGTTTTAAGAAATCCAAAGTCATTTTTTGAAGTTGGTATTCAAATACAGAAATGTACAGTCTCTAAAGTCCAGCATTGATGATCATTTTATCTTGCGTGCACAAGTTTTATTCTGCATGCAGGTTGTTTTATGCTTCACACGAGATAATTATCTTGTATCCTTAAAAAGAAATTAACTTGTGCAGTGAAGATAAATCACCTCTTGCAGGACTGAAGGGGCTTGGTATAACTGTGATATTTTCCTGCGTAGATATTCTTATAAACTGGGATTCATTTTACACCAACAGAGGCCGCATGAGCAGATCCTTGTATCTGTACAGAACTGATTGAAAATCTGCTTAAAAGGCACAGAAGTCAGTTTTAATGGATATTATCAAGAGATTCTTTATGAAACTACAACACAGCTCTAGTTTTCTTTCGAACTTCCAAACAAGCCTGAGATGATCTTTTGATTTCTTGATAATATTCTGAACAAATGACCCCGTGTTAAACTTTGGTGCTTGTGTGCTGCTTACATTTCTATGGTGTTCTTTGTCTCGACAAATGCTTCTTTTTGTTGTTGTTTTTTTTTTTTTTTCCTGTATGAGAGAGAGAGAGAGAGAGAGAGAGTGAAAACAGACCCATGCTGTGGAATGAGAAAAGGCAGTGCTGTGAAATTTAATGTCATGCTCTTAATACTGTTTTTATGGAGGGGAGATCGTCTTCAGGTGTAATAATTTAGAAGAGTTTATTAGAGTGTTCAAAAGACGTAATAAACGATACGAAAACGGAGAGTTGTCTGTTGTTGTTTTGGCTCTTCTTTGAGCTTCTAACTATAGTTCAGTGTTGACTGAAACTCTAACTTAAAACACAACAAACCCATAGCTAACCCCCGTTTTGTCCTAAAGCAGTGGTTCTCTAGTCCAGTCCTCGAGCCCCCCCGTCCTGCATGTTTTGGATGTTTCCCTGCTCCAACACACCTGATTCAAATGATGAGCTCGTTATCAAGCTCTTAACGAGCTGATCATTTGAATCAGGTGTGTTGGGCGGGGGGCTCGAGGACTGGGCTTGAGAACCACTGTCCTAAAGTAAGATTTCACCAAATCACACAGTCGAGTAAATGGTAAAGTGTTACGGAGGGTGAGTTAGTTTTTTTTTCTTCAAGTTCCCGTGATTTAAGAAAGCTTTTCTTTTCTATCTCTGTGCTCTTTTATATAAAATTTCAACACAAAGAAGCTTAAATTAGGACACAAATGTTATCAGATAGGCAGCATATGATGCAGTCATGAGGCCTGCAGTAGTTATTAGTGTGGTATGTCTGCCCCCTGGTGGCTATCTGTCTCATTACATATATAATTGTTTCATTACATTCACTGCTCTACCTCAAAGAAAGTATTCCACACAGTTACTTTTTGGTTGCTTTATTTAATTCATTCTTGAAAAATAATACTTTTCTTTAATTTTTTTTTCCATATAAAAGTTCCTTTCACATCCTTGAATACAAAATACTTTTCCAGCGAGAAAGATGGGGGTAGAACTTTTTCTTTAACCATGCCCCATTAATTACATCAATCAACTTCACTGTTCAAATAGCATTCATGATCTCTACACATTTCAGACAAAGTGTGTTTGTGTTTCTGTTATGTAACTTTTGGACGAGCCGAGCTGGATCTCACCACGGCGTTCCTACAGCTGACCTCGGTTTGTTCCGGCGTCTACCACAACAAAACAGCAGGCAGCTCTTCTTCTCTGGAGCTCTACCAGCTTTAGTCCTCACACCAGGGTCTCTCTGAATGATTCCCATGAGGCAAATATTTCAATACCAGGAAGGGAGGATAGAAGCATTAGGGGATGTAACATAATATCACAGCAAGCAACTAAGATGCATTATTTACAGCTAAGAGCGAGTCTTAACCCTGCTGATATCCAACACCAAGTTGTTACGACTTAACACAGAATGTAAACCAACGCGTAAAGTTATTGTTTTTTATCAGACATACAAACAACAAAGTGCAATAATCTCACTTTTAAAGGTTTTAAGGCTTGGTCAGTGAATGGTTTCAAGTGCTGAGGAACACAGAGCAGAGTTCCTTCTTCAGGATGAATCTGTGGATCTGTGTAGTGCTAAATAGTCTAAATAAAATACTGCTATCTGAGATTCAAGGGCAGTAACAGAGGGAGCTAACTAAGACAAGCTTCTCTTTCAGAGGTAGAGAAAGTCAGATATAGCGCCAGGCAGATGTGTCATCATCTGCACCCTGATCCACCAGTGTGGCTCCATGGGGGAGTATCGTGTGTACGGACGTTTGGAGATGAGGGCATCACTGATGTCATCCAAAACAGTAGCCATGCTCTTCTGCCCGCTGTTACAGTATGAGCGCATCAGAGCCATGAGCTGCTCAAAGTGGGCTTTCCCATAATCCTCCTTCACCTGAGAGGGGGCTTCGTTCCACAGCTTGTTGGCCGTGCTGGCGACAATGTCCCGGGTGAGGATGCCAGTAGCCACGATAAAGTTCCCCGGCTCAACTATGGAAACTTTCACACCCCAGGATTTCATCTCATAGCGGAGGCAATCAGAAAAAGCTTCAACACCGTATTTCGACACGCAGTAAGGAGAGCGCATGACATTTCCCATCCTCCCATACATGCTGGCGATGTTCACAACACGACCTGCAGAGATTTCACAGACAGAAATGTAATCATGAGCCTAAAATTTTGCCTCCTGCAACCAAAAATCTGAGGAAATTTCTCATAAAACAAGAGTGTCCTTAAAAGGATATTTTGGCGTAAAATTAATTCAAATTCAAACATACCGTAACACAGACTTAGACGCCCCCTCGAGAGATGAATGTTGCCGACCGCTTGCTACTTTAAGTATACCAACTTAAGCAACAACCGCAGGATAGCAGTTCACAGCGGTCTGAGGAGCCATAAACAAACCTCAACCAAAAACGTCACTCTATAGCCACAAATAATGCTCAGAACAGCACCTAACTTCATCAACTAACTTCATGAAAATGCAATCAGACCGATACGCTAAGGCAGAAAAACTACCGCGTCTGCAGTGCAAAATGATTAATATGGTGATTATTACTTCAAGGAAATGATAAAGTAATAATCATAAATGTTCTTCCTTGAGGTGCGTCACCCCGCTGTAGTCCGTAATGGACTAGCCTGAGGCTACAAACAAGCGGCTGCTGGAAGAGAGTAGGTGAGTTGTGTTTAGTCTCTTTGCTAAAGAAATCAGGCAAAGTTAAAAAGATGTTTGGTGGCTAGTACTATGGCTAGGACCTTATATGTTCTGTTGATGAAGTTAGGTGCTGTTCTGAGCATTATTTGTGGCTATAGAGTGGCGTTTTGGTTGAGGTTTGTTTATGGCTCCTCAGACCGCGGTGTCTTGCTATCCTGCGGTCGTTACTAAAGTTGGTCTAACTAGAGAAGCAAGCGGTCGGCAACATTCATCTCTAGAGGGGGTGTCTAACTCTATATTACGTTGTGTTTGACCCTAAATTAATTTTACGCTGGAATATCCCTTTAAACTGAAAAATATGGTGCAATGATAATTTTGATAACTCATTTTAAATTTAACCCCATCATGTAATTGTAGTTTTATTTTCCTACTAAAGCACTTCACTGTACTGAAATAGTGCTGTCTGAATAAATCTACTATCAACAATTCAAGCTTCATTTTTCCTGCTTTTAATTTGTTTCAGTTTTGTATCCACATTCTTAGCATTCCTCGCAGAAATCATGGGGCACTACTTATTCTGTGTTTGCATGCTTTCTACTCAAATAGTATTCTTAAGAATGCACATAATCCATCACTAAGACACTGAAAAAATGTGACAACAAGGTGCTTTTCCCTTCAAGTTTAGCTGTTTTTGTAGTTATGCCATTGTTGGAACTCTGTCATGTTGATATGTAACATATAAAATCTTGATTCACCCTCCAGCTTCTTACCTTTGGCCCTGCGGATCAGTGGCAGGACAGCTTTGGTGACCCTGATGGTGCCCCACAGATTGACCTCTGACACCTGTTTGTAGGTCTCCATGGATGTAAACTCCACTTCTCCAAATGTTGACACACCAGCATTGTTCACCACAGCCCACAGACCTGAGTCATGACATATGACAGACTGTCATGGAGGGGGAAAAGTCTGTGTATGATTTTCTTAGCAAACACAGGTGATAGGGCAGCACAGAGAGTTTGCACAGTACCTTTTTCTGAGTCCTCTAGGTTGTCTTTAATGTATTGTGCAGCTTGGTTCACCTGCTCATCACTGCAAACATCCAACTGGACTACCTTCATCCGGTCTGAATGAAATTCTTCCAGCTCTTTCGCACCTTCTCCATCTTTATCCTGCAAGGACAGTGTTTTATTTTAGTTGCATGACACTAACACTCACATGACACGACACTAAACTGAAATGCGCAAAATTGCATCCTGAGCAGAGTCATGCAATGAGTCTCTTAAATGAATAACTGTTTAATATTTCAACCTGTACCTTAAGAAGACATCCAGCAAAGACCGTAAAGCCGAGTTTGTGCAAGTGTTTTGCAAGTGCATGACCAAATCCACAGTCACAGCCTGTGATAAAGACAGCTTTTCCCTTCACCTGCAAATAGGGGCAGAATAAAGTCATTTTTAATTTTTTCTACCACAGATTACACTCTAATCTTAGAACACTATTACTGGGTGATTTTCACTCGACCAGACATGTTTAGGTGATTTTCATTATGTTGTATTTGTCTGAGTATCTTGGGTCCCTGAGTAGCCTCAGCATTGCCTTTGACATCTTTGAAGGCATATTTGTTTCCCTGATCCAAAACCCACTTTTTCCTACAGCTGGTGTTCGGGTGATTTTCACCCAAGTGTATAAATGCAGGCGATCTTGCTGCATTTTAAGGCTGAAACACTCAAGACTGCCATATTTACCCTCCCTTCTTTGACTACAGCTATCATCTTGTTGTGGGATTGATGTCTCTTGCATCCCAGCTCGTGAGTAACACATAGCTAAGGTGTGTTTAACTTAGTCATTGTATATTGAGGGGATTTCGTTTTTTAGCTGCATGTAGGGAATAACGTAAGTAAGAGTGGTCCTGGAATTTGCATGCTATCTTTATTTAGTGCAGTGGTTCTGAATAACTATCACAAAGTAGTGATTTTTAAGGGAATTCACATGGTGATAAGAAATATTTTAGTCAGCGGGTCATTTTTACTCACTCAAAATTTGCCATATTTTGGTTCTCTCTCCTGCCGCAAGGGAAGACTCACGAAACTAACTTTACAATTTCTATATTTTATTATTATTTTTTTGTAGGAATTTTTTTGTTCATGAATGCCTAATTTCAATTATTATGATGTTAGTGATAGTGTTCTAGGTCTAAAGGAATTAAACGTTTTGGATGTAGACACGAAGTCTAATGTAATATTAGTAGTTAACACAAGTAGATTAATGTCTTTAACACACGTATGAACATTAACAGGGCGTCTGTTCATGTGCACAATAGCTCAAGTTCAATATCTACATTCATTTTTATATCGAGTAATCCTGGTCAAAGACATAACTACCGCACTAGTATTGTTATCCTTTAAATTCAGAGCCACACATAAAATGTAAGCCCGCACATAACATACAACACAATGCTGTCATATTTTCTTCATAATTCGTAATGTAATATGGTTGTTTACGGGAGCCTACGTGGGACATTTGGTTTTGGTTCTTTGCAGGAAATGACACTCCATACAGTACATTACCTCCACCTGTCCTCTTGGAATTCGAGGCGTCGCAACGTACAAGACAAAAAGCAGGTAAAGCACGACTATACACTCGGTTACACTGGTCTCCGGGAGGCCTAACACCCTCATAACTGCGTTTAGCAAAGCAGGTAGCCCGAAACCTAACAGTACGGTGAGAAACACTGAAAACGACACAAGCATTGCCACTCGGAACCCAGGGAGCGGGGCCATCTTGACTGAATGGTGTGTTTACTTTCCTGGAAAGGTCTACATCATCCAGCGCGCGGTCACGGCACGCCCCCCACATCACGAAAGCCATCGGGCTGCATTCAAAACGGCAAGACGACTTTAGCAACCCTCGGGAAGCTTCTTCTTCCTCTCTTTACAGTTTTTCCCAGTCGCTTTGGTGCATTTCTCAGATCAGAATGAAAGTTCTCACAGCAATTAGTTCAACCTCCACAACATGGAGTCATTTTTACACATCATCGTAGCAGTTTCTCATTCCTCTGAACAAATTGCAAATGCTCCTGGACATGTATCAGTTACTTCTATACAATTCTCTGCTGTTTTATAACATTATCATTTGCTTAAGTCATGTCAGTCAAAATGAAACATACTTATCAATGCTGAATAGTCATTCCCTATTAAACCAGTAGTCCTCATTTCATTGCTTGAGTCATTTCATAGCCGACAAAAATTGTTGAACTAGTTGTCAAATTCTGTCAAGCTGATTTCATACATTCCTTTATCATTTTTTTTTCTCCTGAAAATGTCTCCTAAATTGAACAATTACTCTTAGGTGAACCTCAGCTTTCACTCATGCGGAGGTGTGTGAAGCATTAGTTGTAACCAATGAGAAGCCCATGAACCCCCACTTGGCATGCATATATAAACCAAGTGGGACTAGTGTGTACCATTTCTACAATTCACAAAAATATAAGGTTAGCGTTGTTTACACTAATATGTACTGTTATATTGTATATAATTGTATTATATATTATATATTGTATATTTGTGCACAGATCTACCAAAATTGTATTTCTTATGTTTGTTCTAAATAAGTGACTGTGATTTTTTTTTTCACAATGCTGTAGAATTGCAAAGAGCAAATGCAGTCAATATGTGAAACATACATGTGTCATGTACTCAGTTACCTCACTAAATACTGTAATGTGTAACTTTACTGTAGTTTTTAAATGGCTGTACTGGTAGTGTATAGTGCTGTCTTGAGCATTTTCAGGTAGTGTCACAAAGATCTGACTTTTTTGCGTTGGAAAACACAGAGGGTAAAGTGTCATGATGAAAACATGACAAAGCCATTTGACTGTCTTGTTCTTAACCCTTGTGTAACCCTTAGATTTACATCCTGTCTTAACGCTCAGTGGCTAAAAAAAAGCCACTGACATTGACTGCTGTAAAAACATATTGGATTCATATTTTTTCCAGATTTTTTTTCTTATATCTCTTAATTAACTTCTGCTCTATTCAAAACTAGTAAATGTTTCATTAAGAATCCAAATCTTAACCCTTTAAGGACCCATTTAAAACATAAACTCACTAATATTGGGGGAAAAATGGGAGGAAAATGACTGATTTTTATTAAATTTATTTTCTACCATATCAGTGACATTATGTTTTGAATGGACCCTCAAAGGGTTAAAAAATGTTTTTAGATTAAACATTAACTAGTTTTTATTGAAGCAGAAGTTAATTAAGAGATATATGAAAAAAAAAACGAAAAAAAAAAATATTAACCCATTATGTTTTTACAGCAGTCAAAGTTAGTGGCTTTTTTTTTTTGCCACTGAGCGTTAACAAAGGATGAAAATTTGCCCAGCTCGTATTTTTGACCTTTGAAGTCATATTCTCAAAGTGTCCGTCAATATAAGCATCTGCACAAAAAAAATTGCTGCAGTAAAAAAAAAAGTTACATGGAAATTAGTGGCTAAATTTTGCCCCTAGTGGCTGATTTTAGCCACAGCGTTACACGAGGGTTGGTGTCAGGACTTATTAATTTGATGACACAGACACTTTCATTGACATGAATACTTGCTTTTCAGGAATCAGCTATTCATTTTGAATAAGTGACGCACTTTTGCATGTTATCCGCTAGGTTCTGCAGTTTGTACTAATTGTTCTGTGAAATGCAAATGTTAATAGTGATGTGAGAAATGCACCAAAGCGACTGAGAAACTGTAACATTAACCATGAACCAAATGAATAAACTCCAGTCTCAGTTAATAAGTCATCAGACCAAGTCATTTCTTTATAAATTTGCCACAGTCTTTGACTTTATCATATTTTTGTAGCTTGTTATATAGACTTCAGGAAAAATACCGTAATAAGGTTTTTAAACAGTTCCAGTAGCATCAGAAACAGCTCTGGGTAGCAGCCAGGTGTGCACTCACTGTCGCTACACCTCCTCTTTAGGTGGAACTATCTCTTTGATAACTCGTTAGGTGTCTCTAGTAATTCATTTTTAACATTTAACCATTTCTTTATTAATGAATAATGAGGAGTCTCCATTTATCTCCACAGCTTCACTCTCAGTCTCTGATCAGTCAGTGTAAAGATATGGGGAGAGATTTGTCTCAAATTTATGCACAAATATGTATACTCAATGTCCACACATGATCCACAAATATATGTCCATGATTTTCACAGTTGATTTTTAATTGTGTGTGTGCATTTATCATGACTTACATCTTCAATACTGCTTTTAATTGTTGAAAACGTTTTTGTGTGCACACGCATTTAATTTTGAGACAAACATCACACAGTTTTCAAGATATGCACACACACAAGTTGAGGATATTCACATGTGTGGAGAACACCGCCTCTCACATCCACTGGGTAGCAGTGTTGCTCCCTCTGTTGAGAGCGTAGACTGTGAGGAAGATGATTGACAGCTATCCACCTTAAAAGTGGGGAGAAGTTTCTCTGCTTCTATAGTGGATTCTGCCAGTCATCCTCTTCACAGTCTGTGCCCTTAACAGAGAGACAGAGACCCAAAATAAACTCAAATTCTGATGATTTATTTGTTGTGTTTTATGGTACAGGTGCCCGCAGTTGGACTCGACATATTGAAAGACGAGGAGGATCATTAAACAGAGCAGTGGATACTCTCAAGTGATGTTATCATCTGTGTTTTCACCTGCATGACAGGGGACAATGTCTTCCAAAGGTTGAAGAAGTCAGCATATATGCTCTTTTACCAGAAGATGGTGAAAATTAATAAGCACATGTTGAGCAAACATAGATTATAATTAAATAAGCTGAATTCTCCACAAACAGAGATCATTAACTGTCTTTATGTCTGTTGTAGGTACGAACAAGTCTGGCAGTTGGGAGGTTGTCCTCGCCGTGTTGATGATATGTTTGCTTTTGATATGTGTCTCATTGCTCAAGCTATTTGAAAGCCATTGTGAGTTTATTTGCCAGTGTGCGGTAACTTAGTATACACTTAAGCACTGTTTTCAACAGCACTGGAGAGTTGCAGTCACTCCTTTGAGTGCAAGCCCTAGCCCACTTCTTTTAATTGTCTTGGGCTTGAAATGAGCATGTCATCATTTAAAGCACACTCCCAAAGTGTAGAAATTTTACAGTCAAGGTTTGCATCCCCGCAGTGCTAGACTGAACTGAGTTGAGCCGAGCACAGCCTCAATGACCCAGACAGACCCAAAAAGAAGTACTATAAATGAGCACACTCACCAAACATTGCTGGTATAGGATCAGATCAGGGTCAAAACATTAGACAGCTGCTCTTGGAGGTTTTCTGATACGTTCAGTTATTATATCATACAATGGGCAAAATGATCACCTAATTGCACATGCAGAAATAGAGAAAAGATTTGACCTTACCCGTCAGCCATTTTAGTTTCTGCTGGAGTGCTATGTAATGTGATATTACTCTACCATGCTAGTTACAGTAATCTGTTCACTCAGTTATTGGCTGTATTTAATTGTTACAGACCAGTTGTATCAGAAAGTACTCAGTACTCCATATTCAATACTCAAGCAGAGTATTACCGTTGTGTTTTTTCCTCCTTAACCAAAAGTAGCTCCCCTTTAAGCCCCACTCCCCACCCAAACTAGCGATACCTTCCCTGTTCTTATCTCAGTACACTAATAGTCAGTTAAATAGCTGACACTAGTCAGAAGCAAATGAGTGTAATAATGTAAAAAGACTAAAACATCATTTTAAAGAGTAACAATTGTCCATATACAATATTAGCATATCAGCTTGCTCTCAAACCATGTCTGTACTCCACAAGATCTCACTCTGTTTTTCCATGAAAGAAGAATTTGACAGCGATTGAAATAAATCACACATTTTCTTTCAGTGTTTGTTTGTTTGGATAGTAATGATTGCATGAGGCTTCTTGATTAGCTTGCTAGCTAGTAGAAGTCGAATATGAGATCATTTTGTTTATCACCTAGAGATGAAGAGCAAATGTCTCTGAAAAAGAGACAGAATTACAAAAGACTAATGAAAATTCTTGATCTTGGCCAGTGGACCTTAACAAAAACTGTAGGATCCTATGTGAAATTGAGGCTCGTGTATGGTGCAAATCTTAGTTAAAACTTGACGACTTGACCTGTCACTGACACTGCTGTTAAAGTTAAATAATATCAAAAATTAAGATAATAGTAACATTTAATCACCTCTGAGAACAACTTGTAGTCAAATGTGCAAATGTCATGTGGGGACGAGTCGCAGTGATGTCAACTTGTTAACTTCCAGGAATGAATCAGATTAGCCTATTACAGCATGACGGTGCTAACCCATATTGTGCATGAATTACAACAAAATAGCTCTGCATTCAAAGAGTCTGCATGCTGAAGTAGCTTACCTGCAGTCTCAGCTTGGCAACCAAAAGTTGTGCAAAATTAAAAATAGAAAAAAGAAGACCCCAGCCTGTCACCAGCTGAGATCTTCCGTCAGGCAAAAACAAGGAATAACTATCCATTTTTAAAACTCTACAGAAAGAGTTTTTTTTTTTAAAGGAGAAATGACTCATCATGATGGCAGACATGTCCCTGCTATAACTTTTTGAAACTATGTGACCATGTGACTTTCAACATCAGATTTGTCATTTTTACATATTGAATAAATGTGTTGCTTGATATTATGCAAAATATAAAAATAAGAAACTGTCCAGGAAAAAAAAAGATTCCCTGGCATGATTGAGCAGTTTTTTTGAAACATATTGTTCACTAAGGTATCCATTTTAAGTTTTAAGTTGTGGCAGACTTATGTTGTGATCTGTTGCCATAGTAACTGGGGAAGCCAGGGGGAATTCCATGACTGTGCTTTGACATTACTATGATGTCATCACTTTAATGACATCATAGTGATGTCATCACTTTGATGTCATTAAAGTGATGACATCACAGCCCTGAGGCAAATCAGAAACTTGGTAATGACTGTACCAAGGTAAAAATGATCGAACTTTGCTTTAGGATCATTTTTAAAGGAGACACAAAACTGTTTTAACACCAACTTACAAACACAAACACAAACACAGCCATGAGCCTCTCCACTAGTAGGATGGAACAGAACTTTACGCTGAAAACTACAACCACACTTCAGACAGTCATCCACATGTACCTAGATGATTTGCTTGCGGTTATGGAGGATCAACAAAAGACTGAATTTACTGACCCAGAAATAACGAGGATCATTGTAGATATGTGCGCTTCTATTACTGAAGTTATCAGCAATGGTCTGCTTGAGATATTTGAAAGGAGATCAGAAATACAAGTCTACTTGTCACCAGGATCTGTTGAATCAGAGGAGGGCTTCACTGTGTCTAAGTGGGATGTGTATCAGTACATCGGTAATGTAGGTGAAGTCATCACACACACTGTGGCTGATATAGAGGGTGCAGGTGACATCTACTTCCCGCAGGCAGGGGAGGTGACAGAGCTTGTGCTTGAAGCAGTCAGCATGAAACTTAACTCCAAGCTGTCCAAAACAAGTTGCACAGAAGCCATAGCGCCGCGCGAGATTTTTAAGAGTCTTCTTATCCAACAGAGTGAACACATCAGGAGGATCCTAACACTCTCCCCAAGAGTTTGGAACATTTTGAAAAAGTTGGGAGCTGAGGAAAGAAAGATGTCAACATTAGAGCCGGTGGAGGAGATTAAAGCCGTGTCTCAGACTGAGCAGGAGGATAAGGTGTTGGAAACCACTCATACCCCTGCAAGTTCTCTGCAAGAGTCCATATTAAAATTTGACATTGAAGAAGCCAATGAAATCACTGCAAGAAAACTGAAAGAAGCGACCAATTTCGACTTTCAGGGTTTTGTGGAAGAAGCAGACATGCTTCTTTCTGAAGAAAGCCAGGATTCAGAGGACTCACTAGAGATTCAGACTGAAGGAGATCATTTCATGCTGTGCAAGACTAAGGACAACGTAAGCATAACTGTGAGAGAGTTCAGTAAAGTTGTGCACTCTCCAAAATCAGGTGTTGGTTCCCAGACAGAGGCTGAGGGTCACACCTGCCCCACACCTATGCAAGAAGAAGTCCAAAGTCTCACAGCTGAGGAGGAAAAAGAAGAGGCCTGCTCAGATGAGGAGGAAGAGGAAGATGCCTACTCAGATGAGGAGGAAGAGGAAGATGCCTACTCAGATGAGGAGGAAGAAGAGGAGGCCTGCTCAGCTAAGCAGGAAGAGGAAGAAGCCTGCTCAGTTGAGGAAGAAGAACAGTCAGTATTCAGGGAATACATAAACCCTGCTGATGAGTTGGTCTCACTGGTTTGGGACATCATTCTGATCGAGCTCATACACATGGTCATGAAAGGTTTCCCCACCACCGGTCCCCCCCCTAACTTCTCATCAGTGGCAATGAGGCTTAAAAGAATACTGGTTGCAGAGAAGAGAGGTGCTGACGTCAATATCAATTGTAGCCACAAAAAGATCCTGAAGATATGCAAGGCCGTCCACAAAGACCTGAGCAAAGAGTTTGGTAAGGAAGGTCTTTGGAATGGTCTCATGGTACAGGATGAAACAGTCATTGAGGCTGTGGTTGACTCTCTGAACAAGCATCTTTCACCAAAAAGACCCAACCCTGTCAAAAGGTTCTTTAAAAGTCTTTTCAGGCCTTTCACTGCCCTCCTTAAAAGTGGCTAGAAACATCAGGGTTTGGGTGGGCGGGTGGGTGGGTGGGACAACAACCCTTTTTCACAGCTGTCATTCTGTGGACTAGTGAACCTTCAGGTTCCTGCTCTGACAGAATCTCAGCTGTGTAAAAGGTTATCAGGGCTCTGACGTCTGTCCTTATGTCCAGGTTTTTCTCTGTGCTACCAGCCTCGAAGCTCAGAGTGTCCAAGCTGGATATGAGGACAGACTTCATGTCCTTTACGGGTTTTCTCCGAGTGCTTCGGTTTCTCCCAAAACAAGACTAAATAAAAAAGAAAAAAAAGGGTTTCTCCCAAAACCCTAAAAAATAATTTCCCCTCCTCGAGCTACCACCTTACCGTGGTGGAGGGGTTTGCGTGTCCCAATGATCCCAGGAGCTAAGTTGCCAGGGGCTTTATGCCTCTGTTAGGGTTACCTATGGCAAGCAGGTTCTGGGGGAGAGACCAGACGAAGGGTAGCTCAAATAGACCCTTTTTGATGAATTAAATATTTGGTAACAAATTTCCCTCACCAGACGCCTTACTGCTGTCAAAAATCACATTTGACAGCAATTATGCAGTGTAATGAAACAACGCTGAGATTTCTAAGCATGCACAAAAAAAGCTGCGTTTACAAACTGATATTATCTATAAACATATAACACACACATGCACGCACGCACGCACGCACTAAATCCCTGAAAAAAAACTTGATGTGAGCTGTTTAAAATAAGTATAAAAGATAACTAAAGTAGAGAGTTGGGTCATTATAGGCCAGGCTGCATGACTAAGAGTGGTACACACAGCAGATATGAGCCAGCATAGCTGTCTGCAGGAGTTCCTACGTTAAAGCAAAGCTATGCACTGCAGATGGGTCACAAGAAGCAACTTACACCACTTGCAAAAAGTCTTTGAGTCAAAAATGTATGTTTTTATTTTTGTTTTAGATTATTACATATCGCCTTCAAACACCTGAACTATCCTTGAATAATTTCACACAAAACATGCCAAGTACAAGGTTTATGCTGAGAAATGGTCTCCGATTTGTTAGTTTTGTACACCAACGTTTCCTGGTTTGGTTCAGAAAAGATCATGGCTCGGATTAAAATTTAACTGTGACCTTCACATGCTCTCAAACAGCTTCAACAACAGAACATGTTGTTGAAGCTACAAGTGGAACTTTTGACTTAAACTAAAAACTGAAATGCTAGAAAGAAAAGGAATAATGCATCAAAATTGATATTGCTATTCAAAATTGACCCAAAGCTTTTTTTTAGTCATCAGGATATGAGAAATATTAAACTTTGGTCTTTTTTTGTTTGTTTTTTAATGAAAAATCTGGTTTATTGTGTTAATGAACTAGCATTTAAAGGGTGAAAAAATCGGAATGATTCATAATAGGTATTAATATACAGGACGGAAACTGAGGAGAAGATATAAATAATAAAAGCTTGTGAAATATGTCAATGTAAGATAATTCAAATGAAGTTTTGTAATTAAATGGGTTTTTTATATCTGACAAAGTAAAAAAAATTAACATACCCCCCAAACATTTTTACTGGTGATCACAAAAATGTCCTGAGCTGAGTTTTTTTTTTTTTTTTTTTTTTCGAAAGTTGCCTCATAGTGAAACATGTTGGAAAACATATATACATTTTTTTCAATGCATTGTGTATGTAGACTGGCATAGGGTTAAAATTCTGAAAATTATTAATCATTTGATATTTATAAACAGAGTTGAAGCTAGTGAAATAAATGTGATTCATTATAAGTTAAAAACAATATTTATGTGTAATTGTATGTCAGTTTTTGGCTATAAACTTACTTTTTGTCCTGTACTGTAAAAAGAGAAGTTTTAAAATAAGTCAACATTTAATATAAATAAACAATAAATCTGCTTAAAAGATTTGACCCATTAAAAGAAGAGATCAGATCCATGTAGAACTATTTTTTTTGCCATGGAAAAGTTAATTTCAGGATGTCAGGAACTTTTTGTTGCTGAGACATGAAGCCTCAGTTTATCCGCAAATCTCTAAACAAAACTGAAATTATCTCCTCTCTGTTCCTCTACCCTCTGCAGTTATTTCATGGACATTGCACGTCTCCGTGACGCTGGTGACACTCGCCGCAAACTTCAGGCTCTGGGTAAATTTAAGAGGGTTCTCTCTGTCCAGGCCCCAGAGTTTGTGGACCACCATCAGAAAGTAAGTCAGCTCGTTTTCTTTAAAGTTTCACTAGCTGCTCCTTGTCTGCTTATCCAATCAAACCTGTGATTCTGTCTGCTCAGGATGCCCACGAGTTTTTGACCCCTGTTCTGGGTCAGATGAGGGACCTGGCTGCGCCACTGAGGCAAGTTGCCTCTATCCTGGGGAGGACCTACAGATGTCCTGTGGAAAGGAACCTGGTGTTCAGGATGCAGAATTGCAGAAAATGCAAGAGGTAAAAACATACAGATGGTTGCAGGACAAATATACCTCCAGTTTGACTCATTTTCTTTAATTTTTGTTCATTTTTATCAAGTCAGGTCACCTAAATCTCAAGTAATCTTTTCTTAAGGATAAGAAAATTTAAGGATAAAAGAAAAGATTACTTGAGATTTAGGTGACCTGACTTGTGTACAGTACAGGACAAAAAGTAAGTTTATAGCCAAAAACTGACATACAATTATACATAAATATTGTTTTTATCTTATAATGAATCACATTTATTTCACCAGCTTCAACTCTGTTTATAAATATCAAATGATTAATAATTTTCAGAATTTTAACCCTATGCCAGTCTACATACACAATGCATTGAAAAAAATGTATATATGTTTTCCAACATGTTTCACTATGAGGCAACTTTCGAAAAAAAAAAAAAAAAAAACTCAGCTCAGGACATTTTTGTGATCACCAGTAAAAATGTTTGGGGGGTATGTTCATTTTTTTTTACTTTGTCAGATATAAAAAACCCATTTAATTACAAAACTTCATTTGAATTATCTTACATTGACATATTTCATAAGCTTTTATTATTTATATCTTCTCCTCAGTTTCCGTCCTGTATATTAATACCTATTATGAATCATTCCGATTTTTTCACCCTTTAAATGCTAGTTCATTAACACAATAAACCAGATTTTTCATTAAAAAACAAACAAAAAAAGACCAAAGTTTAATATTTCTCATATCCTGATGACTAAAAAAAAGCTTTGGGTCAATTTTGAATAGCAATATCAATTTTGATGCATTATTCCTTTTCTTTCTAGCATTTCAGTTTTTAGTTTAAGTCAAAAGTTCCACTTGTAGCTTCAACAACATGTTCTGTTGTTGAAGCTGTTTGAGAGCATGTGAAGGTCACAGTTAAATTTTAATCCGAGCCATGATCTTTTCTGAACCAAACCAGGAAACGTTGGTGCACAAAACTAACAAATCGGAGACCATTTCTCAGCATAAACCTTGTACTTGGCATGCTTTGTGTGAAATTATTCAAGGATAGTTAAGGTGTTTGAAGGCGATATGTAATAATCTAAAACAAAAATAAAAACATACATTTTTGACTCAAAGACTTTTTGCAAGTGGTGTAAGTTGCTTCTTGTGACCCATCTGCAGTGCATAGCTTTGCTTTAACGTAGGAACTCCTGCAGACAGCTATGCTGGCTCATATCTGCTGTGTGTACCACTCTTAGTCATGCAGCCTGGCGTATAATGACCCAACTCTCTACTTTAGTCATCTTTTATACTTATTTTAAACAGCTCACATCAAGTTTTTTTTCAGGGATTTAGTGCGTGCGTGTGTGCGTGCATGTGTGTGTTATATGTTTATAGATAATATCAGTTTGTAAACGCAGCTTTTTTTGTGCATGCTTAGAAATCTCAGCGTTGTTTCATTACACTGCATAATTGCTGTCAAATGTGATTTTTGACAGCAGTAAGGCGTCTGGTGAGGGAAATTTGTTACCAAATATTTCATTCATCAAAAAGGGTCTATTTGAGCTACCCTTCGTCTGGTCTCTCCCCCAGAACCTGCTTGCCATAGGTAACCCTAACAGAGGCATAAAGCCCCTGGCAACTTAGCTCCTGGGATCATTGGGACACGCAAACCCCTCCACCACGGTAAGGTGGTAGCTCGAGGAGGGGAAATTATTTTTTAGGGTTTTGGGAGAAACCCTTTTTTTTCTTTTTTATTTAGTCTTGTTTTGGGAGAAACCGAAGCACTCGGAGAAAACCCGTAAAGGACATGAAGTCTGTCCTCATATCCAGCTTGGACACTCTGAGCTTCGAGCCAAAGTGAGGCTGGTAGCACAGAGAAAAACCTGGACATAAGGACAGACGTCAGAGCCCTGATAACCTTTTACACAGCTGAGATTCTGTCAGAGCAGGAACCTGAAGGTTCACTAGTCCACAGAATGACAGCTGTGAAAAAGGGTTGTCCCACCCACCCACCCACCCACCCAAACCCTGATGTTTCTAGCCACTTTTAAGGAGGGCAGTGAAAGGCCTGAAAAGACTTTTAAAGAACCTTTTGACACGGTTGGGTCTTTTTGGTGAAAGATGCTTGTTCAGAGAGTCAACCACAGCCTCAATGACTGTTTCATCCTGTACCATGAGACCATTCCAAAGACCTTCCTTACCAAACTCTTTGCTCAGGTCTTTGTGGACGGCCTTGCATATCTTCAGGATCTTTTTGTGGCTACAATTGATATTGACGTCAGCACCTCTCTTCTCTGCAACCAGTATTCTTTTAAGCCTCATTGCCACTGATGAGAAGTTAGGGGGGGGACCGGTGGTGGGGAAACCTTTCATGACCATGTGTATGAGCTCGATCAGAATGATGTCCCAAACTAGTGAGACCAACTCATCAGCAGGGTTTATGTATTCCCTGAATACTGACTGTTCTTCTTCCTCAACTGAGCAGGCATCTTCCTCTTCTTCCTCATCTGAGCAGGCATCTTCCTCTTCCTGCTTAGCTGAGCAGGCCTCCTCTTCTTCCTCCTCATCTGAGTAGGCATCTTCCTCTTCCTCCTCATCTGAGTAGGCATCTTCCTCTTCCTCCTCATCTGAGCAGGCCTCTTCTTTTTCCTCCTCAGCTGTGAGACTTTGGACTTCTTCTTGCATAGGTGTGGGGCAGGTGTGACCCTCAGCCTCTGTCTGGGAACCAACACCTGATCATCATCCAAAGCATTGTCATAATAAACTACAGTCTTCTTATCAGTCTTGTAACAGTCACCTTATCCTCTGAGCCACGTGGACACACAGGAGGATCCTGTTTGTTTCCTCTTTCACTCTCTTTTTTTTGACACTGAACTTTAAAATTCACCTAGAACAGGATAAGAATCAAACACACAACCACAGGAGTCCCAGTCAGTCCTCTTCTCCTCTCTGCATTTTTATCTGAAATACTGAGAATTACAGAGAAATTCAGAAAATTTGTTTCTAAATTACTAAGAAACTGAAGTGCATTTTATAGTCTGGCTTCCCTGTGTTTTTTTTTTATTTTTTTAACTGGCAGCCATGCTCTGCCATTTGACCACTGGTCGGCAGTAAAACACAAATGATGTCGGAGCAGCAGCAGCCTGACTCACCACCAGTTTCACCTTGTCTGCAAGAGATCCATTAACTTGATTATGGGAATGTAATCCCAGGGTATCCAAAGTCACCACCTCCTCATTATTGTGTGTGTTAAAATCTTCACTGTGACCTGATTCCATCTCCAGGTACTTTTCTAAATCCCTTGTATGGATCTGTACTCTTTGTCCTGTGTGCCCCTTTAAGAAAACAAAAATGGAAAGTTCTGCCTGGCTTAGTCCACAAAAACAACAAATCAAATGTGACTGGAGTCTTCTCAAGCAGGCGATCCAGAGGACCTGGTCTAGCTTCACTGTGTGGAAGCTGAGAGTTGACCATATTTACCTCCGCCAAGGAGGTTATGTTTTCGGTAGCGTTGGTTTGTTTGTTAATTTGTTTGTTTGTTTGTCTGTTAGCAACTTTACAGAGAAAGTTACAGATGGATTGACCTGAAATTTTCACCAGAGGTGCGTCTCAGCCCCAGGTGGTGATCCGGATCACCTTCTGGATCCAGGAATTTTTTGAAGGATTCTTTATCAATGTGAGATAGGGCAAATTTTGGAATTTTTGCATTTAACTCAATGAAAAAAGGCCAGAGTCTTTAGTAAAAAATTACACAAAAGGATCTCAATGAGTTTTATGAGGTGTCAAAAGTTGATCCTGATCCAGACAAAATTCCGGATACTGTGATCCAGAACACACAAAAATAAGGGTGTCGTTGGAATTTTCAATGCTGAAAGATAAATAATGGGCAGCACAGTGGTGTAGTGGTTAGCACTGTCGCCTCACAGTAAGAAGGTCCTGGGTTCGAGTCCGGGACAGGACATGTCTTGTTTCAGGAACATTATGAACAGTGAACATACCAGTTTAAACACAAATAAAAGTTAATAAAAGACACGTAACAGTAAAAGTTTTGGTGTGAATCACAGTATAAGGGGGGACATGAGCTGCTTGGCGGAGGTCTGCGCTCTCCGAGTGCTTTTCTAGTCTTGAAAATACTGGAACCTCATGTTGAACACGCACCACAACTTTCAGAGAATAGATTTGGTTTCTGGTTCTGGGATGTATTAGTATTTAACACAGCTGGGTATTAAAACAGAATAATACATTTGCTCAAAAAGTAATATCTTTAAATTCTGCAACATTGAAAACATGCAGTTAAACAGAGCGACAGGATGCAGAAGTAACATTCAGAGGGTTTCTTCGTATCTAACAAAATTGTTTATTATTTGAAAAGTAATCAAAACAACAGCAGTTACAGAAATACAGATAGAGATGATACCGTGTGATTTTTGAGTCTCATTGTGTGCCAGTGAGTGTCATAAGATAAAACCCTGTGGTGGATTTTTCTCTCTGTAATACTGAGCTGTTATGGTTCAGAAGGAGACAGTGAAAGTGATCCTTCAGGTCAGGTTAACTAACTGACTTCAGCTTGACTACCATTTGTCTGACTGCATTTTGAGAGTTATAAAAACACTTGCAGTTTCAGGCGGCAGTGAACTAAAAGCAGATGTTACAAGTTACTTTTTTTTTCTAAACATGTCAACCTAACAATATTTAACAAAGCTCTGTACCATGATTACATGATTTAAATTACTATTGTCCTGTTAAATTTTGTCATTTGTTCTGTTCTCTAGGTTTTTCAAACACCAACAATGACAGGAGCTGAGTAGAAGGAGTCACAGTAAAATGAAAAGCAGAGTTTGTTCAATGAAACCACATCAGAACACGGTCTAGCTGTAAGAGAGAGGGTCTGTGTGAAGATTAAAATCAGCCAGTTAGTCCCTTGTTTGGTATTTGTGTGTGATTCTTTGGGTGTGTAGAAACATTTCTGATGAATTATTAAGAGTGTGCTAAAAAGTCTAAATTAGTCACATGATAGTTGGTGAAAAGATACTGGATAATATCTCAGTTTGCTCGCAGTTGAATCTAATGAGCTTCCTTTTCTTATATGACATATTTGCAACATCTAAGGGTGGTTGTTGGTGAAGAAAAGTTAGGGGGATTTCAGGAGCCTGTGACTGACAGGGGACTGAAATCATCGAAACACTCGTGGCGGTGAAGGGTTGGGACCTGAGGTCTCCGGAGGCAACCTATTGAAAATCTTGGTGCTGGACTCACTCAGTGGGAGTTTGACTCCTGCCCTCTGCTCTTTGCTGTACCTCATTGAGCACTTGGTCTTACCCGTTTCTGACTCTGACTCTGTCTCTCAACAAAAGCATGAAAAAATGACTAAAAGTCTGTGATCAATCTTGAAATTTTGTCTTGCTTTATGAAACAATAATTTGACAAAACTAGCTGGACAGTAGTGATTTTTGTGATATATGAATAAAAACAAGAGAATAAGACTAAGGTTATTTTTAGTTATTCATGGGAGAAATTAGTTGTTCAACTTTTGTTCTTGTAAGTTTTTTTTAACTTACAGGCTTGGCAGATCATTTCAGGTGACCCACATGGATCATTCATGGGAAAGTATTTTCTTTTTTACCTTAAATTTGAAAACAGATGCACAATTTGACAAACAGGTTTACAACTTTTGTTTTTTCAGCAGAATCGGATTGCATTAAAGTGGTTGGTGTTTGTTCGGGATCTTTCGAACCTAAAACATAAATCATCCTTCAAAGAGAAGACTGGTCAGTTATTTGAGGGAATATCTACTCTCACTGGGAGCAGGTATTTTTTTCCTGGGGTGTAACTTTAACCAAATTGATAAAAGTCAGGTCCAGTAAAATATTTCTTCTAATTGCTGGAAAATTTCTAGCAGCTTGGCTTTAGCAGAATGCTGAGATACTTTAGTGAGCCAAACATGCTGCCAATTAAATATGATTTTAACCAGATATTACACTGTATGATCTGTGAGACAGAAACTGTAATATGATTTTTTTAAGTCTTAGAAAGGTTGAACAAAGAGACACCAAAGTCCAAATCCAGCTTGATTTGGCTGCTGAGCTACGACTGGACAATCACTCTCAGGAGAAAGGGGTCTTGAACTATAAACAGCTGCAAAAGCAACACAAGTGGCTGTGAAGTAATGGAGCTCTGACTGAACAGGTGGTTGATGGTTGTGTGTCTGCTGTGACTGTGGGAGGCTGAGGTAAAAACTCGATCATGTAGCTCACTCAAATGTTCATTAGTCTTTGGTCTCGATGTGAAAATGACAATGTTTGATTAAAGAAAAATAATCCGGGTGATTCCTATTTTGATGTGATTTCAGTATCAAACTGACCAGATGTCATATTGCACACTTTATTTCTCAGTAGAAGTCCAGAAAACGGATCGTCTCTAAAATGAGTCTACAATCATTGGTGTGAAAACAGGATTTTGTATTGAAGCAGTCAGAAGCCTTGTGTAGTGATTGGTGACAGTGATGATTTGAGCAGTATTCACATTTGAGTAAAAAAAGTAGAGAAATAAAGGCCACTCATAAAAAATAAAAAAAGTTTTTTGTCTTTTCCTGTACTATGATGCTAATTTAAAAAAAATGTTTGCCATGAATTACCTGAATCTGCAAATGTTTTGGCCTTGGTATATACATGAATGTGTTGACAAGGATGATCCAGTCATAACATTAACACACTCTAGCGAATTGTTATGCTGGCAACATACTGGAAAAAGGAAACCACACTGTAAAATCAAGGAAAACTTCAACCATACCACATAAACTGTAACCCGACACCCCAGATCATCTTTATCATCTAGAATCAACTGTGCAGAGCCAGCTCGAACATACGCAGAAGGATATCCAAACACCACTGTACTCATGTGCATTCACACGAACAAATAGAATCACTTACACTTTAGAAAATATATTCAGCATACACACTCACAAGCGCCTGTCTTGTCATTTTGCATTAGTACAACGAGTCAAATGAGAGAATCAAATGTGCTTGGAAAATAATGTGCAAACTCTCGTCAGGGACAAAATGGCACAGCAGTCATGAGGAAACTGCAAAAAAAGACAAGAAAAAAAGAGTGTGCCCATCACCCGTTATATATATTTAAAAGAAAAAAATACACTGAGAGAACCTCAGGAAACACAAAACCGTCTCACTCCTCATTTTCAGAAAATAAAACCAGCCAAATATCACAAATTTGTCCTACACCCAAACTGAATTAGCTGAGCTTTTTCATCCCACTGCCATCGATCCAACTGACAGGGGTTCAGCTGGCGTCATATCACAAAGCTGCAGCCTGTCTGCAGGGCGGGCAGTGGAAAAGTCAATTAAGCCTGCTATGGCATTGAAAAGCGATACTGATGGTCTCTACGGATTAATGTGCCAACCCCTGTGAAAACAACAGAGAGAAGTCGAAGAAAAAAAAAGTGAAAAACCTGATGGATATAAAGGCCTATACAGTAAAACCCCACCGACAATAAGGAGGAAATCTCTGGTCACATACTCTGTATTGTGTCTTAAAATATATATTGTATATTTCACCACCTCAGATACACCAGTATCCAGTCAAGGCAGTCAGACTTTACAATCCCCCTCCCTCGCAACATGAAAGCAGCCATTCAAAGCTTAACCCATGCTGACTGACTGACATGACAT